AGATTGAAGAACAAAACGACAGCAACTTGTCTGTTCCCCTTTCCCCAATTCCCCAGCACTGTTCCCATCCCCCCAATTCCCCAATAAAAAAAAAATCTTTAAAAAAAAAAAAAGTATATAATGGGAACATTTCCTACATAAAACTCCCTGGAACATGGCAGTTCTCATTGTCTACTCAGTGGGTGGAGCACGAGTCTCAGAGCAAGACAGCTTCCTCCCACCTCCCACCCTGTGTTTCCAGGGCAACAGAGGTCAGCCAGGCCCACTGGTGACTGCTGACCCCTTAGCAGGAGCCACCACACCAGGCCCTGAGCTCAGGCAGCTTTCCCAGGAGAGGAGCCTTCCTCCCAAGCCCAGGCTTCTCAGACGCAAAAGAAACCTCTACAAGGTCCCTCCCTCGAGTCCAGAACTTGGCTGCTTCACTTAAAATGTACAAATGCGTTCAAAGTAGATGCAATTAGTGTGTAACGTTATTTTAATAAACCTCCAAAATGTATTATATTTAAACATGTTCATTTTAATGAGTTAATCAAATTCAACATAATGCATGTTGTAATGTGGCTCTAACAGATAAGGATTGCTTTTTAATATAATCACAATTCCATTATCACATCTGACAAAACTGATTTTCTTAATATTATCTAATATCCAGCCTGTGTTCATATTTTCCCTATTATCTCTAAGTGTTGTCTTAACATCTGGATTGTTTGAATCAGAATCCAAACAAAATCCATGCATTGCTTTGGTTAAAGTCTCTTAATTCTTTTCTAAGCTTGACAGTTGCCTTCCCCTCTCCCATTTTCTTCCATGCCTTTTGTTTGTTGAAGAAATTCTGGTTATTTGTCTCACAGAAATTTCCTACACTCTGGATTTGCCTCGTTGCAGCTTCATGGTGGTGTTTAATATGTTTTTCTAGCCATTATACTTCTTTTATTTTCCTTTTTTTTTTTTAAGATTTAATTGGGGAATTGGGAAAGGGGAACAGCCAAGTTGTTGTCCTTCGGTCTTAGTTGTGGAGGGCGCAGCTAGTTCAGCTCCAAGTCCAGTCATGCTGCTGTGTTCAATTAGTTGTGGGTGGGCGTAGCCACCATCCCATGTGGGAGTCGAACCGGCAGCCTTGTTGTTAAGAGCGCATGCTCTACCCCTGAGCCATCCAGGCGGCAGCTCAGCTCAAGGTGCCAAGTTCAGTCTTAGTTGCGGGTGGGTGTAGCTCACCATCGAACAGGCAGTCTTGTTAGGAGCACGTGCTCTCACCAGCTGAGCCATCCTGCCACCTGTTGGCAGCTCAGTGGCAGCTCAGCTTGGGCACAGCTCACTGGCCCATGTGGGAATCGAACCAGCAACCCTGTTGCTTAGAGCTCGCACTCTTGAGCAAGCTCTTCACCAACTGAGCCACTCAGCCGGCCCCTATACTTTCTTTAAACAAGTAGTTAGGTCGCTACTATCTGATTAGAATCAGGTTCAATTTTTTTTTTTCAAGAATATATCACAGGTGGTATTGTGTACCTTTGTGGTATCACATCAGGAGGCATGTAAGTCACTTGTCCCACTTTTAAAGATGTTAAATTCATCTTTGAATTCAGATGGTGTTGGCCTGATGTATCCATTTTAACATTCCCCATCACCCTTTCACCTAAAAACGTAAGCATTCGTTGATGATCACTGCCTACGTCCACTATTCCACTAAAAATTGCAAAATGGTGATTTCTGTATTCTATGATTATTTCTGCATTTGTTGGCTGGACTCCTCTTTTTTTTTTTTTTAAGATTTTTATTGGGGAATTTGGGGGATGGGAACAGCGGTGGGGAATTGGGGGAAGGGGAACAGACAAGTTGCTGTCCTTTTGTTCTTCAGTCTAGTTGTGGAGGACATCGCTTCACCGACCCAAGTTGGCACCATCATTGCGCTCTTCCCAGGCGAGGCACATCAGTCGCTGGTTTCTGGACGGCCGCTCACTGCGGCTGCTGGCCGCTCACGCTGGCTGCTGGCTACACACGGTAGCCCATGGCAACCCACTGCCACAGGGGCTGCAGACCAGCGACTCATGGCAGCCCAGCTCCAGGTTGAGCTGTTGTTCAGCATCTTAGCTGTAGAGGGCAGTGTCACTGGCCCTCATATGTGGGATCCGAACCGAGGCCCTCTGGCGTCCCAAGCCAGCTCTTAACCATCGCGCCACTCGGCCGGCCCTGGACTCCTCTTTTTTAATCAGACTTGCCCTCATTAACTGCTTGATTGCCTTAAGGTTCAGTTTGAATGTTTGAATAGGGGTGTCAGGGTAAAATCTTGGTTCTACTTCTTTAATTCTACGATTTCAGAGTAACGAGTTGGTGCCATCACAACCTCCACAACTAACCAGCGGTTTTTTTAGGTTTCATCATGAACTCATAGATTTTTTTTTATTATTATTCCAATTGAATCTATGTATTATTCATTTGTATGCTCAAATCTTCACCTTTGGCCAATGGACACCCCTTCAGCTTACAATAGTCTTCGATAGCTGCCCACTCTCTGGAACAACAAGGTGTTTCAGGCTCTTCTCCCCCAGTTCTTGCTTCCGCCCTGGAATCAGTCATTTTTCTATGGAGCCTGGTTCCCGTTAGTGGAAATGGTATTTAGAGACCATAGTTTGGGTGGGTCCTCGTTGTTACTAGGATGTCCTTTACTTCTAGTCCTTTCTACTGGACAGAGCTCATATAGACATACTTACAGAAGGAAAACTAAGTCATAAATTTGTACTGGTTTTTCGAATTCAATGTAATAACAGGGTTTTTTATTTAATTTCTTCGTTGTATTTGTATTTGTACTTCCTCTTATGCTGAAACTCTTGATTCCAAAAGATATTTACATCGTTGTATATTTGATTTATTCTGTAGTATATGTATAATTTCAAAATAGCAGTACTAATGTTAATATTAATAATAATAAGACAATTGAGTACATTTAGGGTTTTTTTGAGAAATGTACAGCTAAAACACTATCTTTTAAAATTACTTGAAATAATTTCCTGTGTGGTTATGTCACCAGCTTTACATACATTTAGGTTCATTTTTTATTGATTTTTTTTTAATGGTTTCATTTTATTTCAATCGTGTAATACATTATTCCATCAAAACTATCAACAGTGATAAGTTTAGAGAAGTCTTGTGTCCATTTCTGCCCCTCCCCCTGGGAGTAGTCAGTTTTTGGTACTCCTTGCCTTGCTTTTTTTTGTTTTTTAATTGCCTAATAAATTGTTATGTTTCTGCGCAGTCTTCAAATTTATCAAAGGGTCAAAATATTACTTTTAAACTTTTTTGGTTTCTTCAAACTCCTTTTTAAACCTCTTCTCCCTGGATACTACTGACTAGCACCCCTCACCACCCTCTATCTAACACTAAGGAAAAATCCTGTCTTGGTCTGTGGCTTCAGCATGTCCTGAAATTTTATACTTTTAACTGATCACTGCTGAGCATGGAAAGAAGTGCTCCACTTATCTTTGCCACGCAACCTGGCAAATGACCCCAAGTGGACCCTGCTGTGCCCTATACACAGGCTTTCCGGTGTTGGTGGTTGGCAGATAACCTCTGCCTCCATGTGCTCTGAGGTGCAAGGAACTGGTTTGATGCAATGGAAAGAGCTTTTTGAAACTGGTAAGTAACAAGGCCAGTTCTCACATGCTCTGTACTCTGGCCACCTTTTCTGCAGCCAGAAAACAAAACAGGCAAATGCACGCAGACGAGGACGTCACCTTGCCTTCCTGAGCCATCTCCCGAACCAGGTCCCTTTGCATTGATCTTAGTTGGGACAGGGGATCAGACAAAAGGATGATGGTGGTGATCATGGCTGGATACCTGTTCTCCTTACCAAAGAAAATGTTAAACGTACGGGCACCCAGCCAGGCTAGGGGCAGTCCAGAGCCCCAGATACAGCTCTGCTGCCCCCTCTGCCCTCTGTCTTCCAGGTGCCTGTGCAGTCCTGGTTCGATGACATGACGGACACGGAGCTGCTGGACCTCATCCCCTTCTTTGAGGGCCTGAGCCGGGAAGACGACGTGTACAGCATGCTGCACAGACTCTGCAATAGGTAGCCCCGGCCGTCTCCCCGCCTCCCACCTGTGCACTCTGGAGCCCCCCGCCGTGGGGACCACCGGCCTCGACTCCCTGGGAGCTGACAGTGACTCTGCACTCCAGGCCGCGGGGCAAATGTGGCCATACCTACCGGTTTCATTTTTTAAGAACAGAAACAACTATTTTAAAATGAACTCTTTTAATGAATTTCTTAAAGGGACATGCATTTTACTGGATTTGCTTTTCTTAAAACATACCAAAAAGAAAAAAAAAAGCTTGGTATCTATCAGACTTCCTTTCAACTGTCCTCCCTTCCAAGCAGACAACCTGCCCTCTTTTACCGCAGCTCGGAGCAGCTGACCCAACTCAGAATCTCTTTCCTACAGGATGAAGTGCCTTTTTGAATGTTATTTTAAGCTGAGAATTAATTTTTCTACACAACGTATTTCCAGTCTTTTATTGTCTCAGATTCTCTAAGAAGATAAATATGACAATTTTCTAGAACCTGGGGGGAGGGGGTGGCGAGGGATGGGAGTGAGTCCTAGGAGCCTGTCTCCCAGCAGGTGTGACTGCTCTGACAACCTGTGGCATGCCGCAGGGTCGGGGTCCGGATGGAGTTTATGTGACCGTGCCCATCTCCATTCATTTCTGACCCAGTTTGGGATGTATTTGCAATTGTGTGGCTCCATTAGGAAACAATAGCTTCTTTCACATTATGGTTTCTGATGGTGACAAATTGGTCTTGAGGTCACATTTTTCCCTTGAAAAGTGGCATTATGTGACTTCTTCTTTCACACTACTTCCATACTTCTGTGTTTTTTTGTTTTGTTTTGTTGTTGTTTTGGGTAGAGCAATTACAAGAAACTCAAACCCTTGGATTTTTAAAAACAAAAAAAAAATCAGTTTATTGATTTTTAAATCTTTCCTTTCCAAAAGCTGGATACACGTGGAGCTGTTTGGGGATTTTCTTTGCTGCTACTGCGCTGCCACCAAATGGAATTGACCAGCGGCTGTTACACTGTTCTTTGCCACTGTGCCTATGCTCAGAATCTGCTCACTGCTAAGCTGCACACTCGGATGGGGTTAGAATCATAGGTGTCCCCCTCACCCATGGCAGACTTACCAACTGTACCCCTTCCCTGGCACTGGCCATGGGAGCACAGAAGGGTACAAAGACAAAAGGGCCAGCGCGCCACGCAAGTGTGGTGCTCATTTTAAAATTGCAGTCAACATCAGACCCTGTGATAAGCTGACTGTTCTCTCCTGAGGACCCGTGACCTCCACCAACCACCACGCCAGTGTGGCCCAAGTCCATCTCTTGGTCTTCTTTTTTGAAGCACAGCCTCGTTCTGAGCCAAGCGGTGGGGAGCCTGTCTAGATTGGGACTCGTTGTCCTGAGCCCGGGAGAGGAAGGCTTCCTCCCCGAGGCGGGGGTCCCTGTGCAGTCTTTCCCAGTGAGATGTTTTTAAGCAGTGCCATGTTCCTTGTTTGACAACAAGTATAAAGTATTGCTCTTAAAAATAATGAAAAAGAACCCTTTTGTGTTGGCACCATTGCCTTAGTCCTCTGTGGGTTGGGCCTCTGCCAGAGTTCTGATGGGAGCGACTGGCACTAACAAAACTGGAAATGGAGGGTCCAAGTAAAATTTCTTTTTTTGCTTCTATTCACAAAATAATGACGTTAGCTGCCAATCAAGTCCTCCCAACAGCACTTTGGTCTGTGGACTGCCCTGCATTCGGAAAAGAAGTAAGTATTCAGGGGTAACCCGGTCTCCCAGCATTCTGCGTGTTCCAAACCCCATAATCCACATGCCAATTCAAAAAGAAACAGCCCCTTGCTCGGCATTACCAACGATAATAACAGTTACATGGCAGATCTCTACATGCCATAAACCGTGAATTGGGAAACGAGTCATTAAATGAACCCGCTGCCTTAAATGTCTTGAATGTCTCAGTCCAGTGTCTGTCGTGTCGAAATCCATGGAGAGCTTGGTCCTGATGAGAGCCTTTAGACCCTTACCCATGCTCCCCCTTGTTGGCATCACAAGGTCTAGTTCAGCATTGTGGGGAAGGGGGGGCTGAAAGGACTGAAATTCTAGACCATTTCAGGGGACTCGAACCTAGGAAGAGTGACAGATGGAGTGAAGACGCTTGGCAGGCTTGAGCCAGACACTTCCCCTAGTCGTTCCCGACACCGTGCGTGCCATGCGCTGACCCAGTGCAGAGCTTGTGAGGATGGGGCCCGGTTCCTGCCACCACAGACACAGAGCTCTCAGGAGGGCCAGTCAGCCCTCTGAGGGTCCTGGGTTCTGTGCACCTTATTTGACCATACTCCAAAATTCCACTTTTATTTTAACCCTTGATTCTGCTTTATGTACATAATAAAAATATCTATATCTATATATATATATATTTTTAATCATCTACATGTAAATGAAGCAATAGAATTCTAACATAAGGCCAAGAAATGAAATGAATGTTTGGGGTTTATATTTTTAAGGTAAATACGGGTATTGTTTTAATTATTACCTTTTATTAAATTGTGGGCTTTAAAAACCTAATTGAAACCTATGAGCTATTTCTCTGTGCCATATACTTCCCATGTTACCAAAACATCCCTGACACTTTAGCCAAAAGACAAATCTGACGTCCTGAGTTCTCATGGTCCTTTCTGTACCAGGTTAAAATATAGTCTTCTAAACAAATATTTTTTACATGAAGATCTGGGACAGGATACCTTGGGTCATGGACTCCGGCCCCTGTGATGCTGTGACATCTCTGGCCGGGCCTCTAGTGGAGGTGCCCAGACACGTCTGAGGTCGTTACTGCTCTGTCTTCCATGGCTCTGGAACCCTACATGTTGGTCTGTGGTTTCACCCATTAGCCATTTGTAAACAATGTGTTTGTATACTAAAAAGGAACACCACCTGTCATGGCTGATGGTTGGTGGGGAAGCTCCTTTGACATGGTGCAATTTTGATGAGATGACGTTGGAGATACGAGGATGACCTAATGACATTGATATGTCATGGTTGCAGCATTTGAACTTGTGGTATAAAAAAGAAATCTGTAAATCTATAATCTGGCAACATTTTACAACCCTATATTTTAAAGATGGCTTTCTAATAAAATCCAGAACCACACAGCCCTATGGTCAAACACTCGTGACGTTTGTGCCTCTGCTTTTAAAGGTGCTGTGATGGACAGTGGGCATGCCAGACTTAGAGAGGAGGGGGTGGCTCGAAGTGCTTGCAGTTACCTGTGCAAAACCGACTGGCTGCCTCTGTTCCCATTTTACTGTAATTTGATGGTGTCTGTTCCTGTTCCATTCTCCAGGGAGCTTCTCTGCAGACTAACAACCCCCCTCTTCCCCCAAAATAGTGGAGATGCTGGTGTCTGAGTAGTCATGGATTTCTGTTGGACATATGAATGTGATAAACAATCCAGCATTACTCAGAAAATACTACATGTGGAATGTGCACGTTTACAGGGGCGAGCATTGTCAGTCAAGAGGCTTGCAATGATTTCCTTCCTGCCAAAAATAAACACGTGAAACTGCGCTCTCTTGTGGATGGACTGCTTCTCTACCGGCAGCACCTCTCTTCACTCTGTTCTCTGTTCTCTGCCCCTGCACATCTTCGTGCCAGCACCTTGGGTCTCCTGATGCCCTAGCTTCTGGAGAGCAGGGGTGGATGGGAGCAGAGCTGCAGGATCCCAGGAGCCACAGACCTTGACCCCAGGGGGAGGTAGAAATCCATTTTGCCCAGTGATAGGCCTCTGGCTTGTCCGAAGCGGTCTGGCTCACCATCCTCCCTCGCCCTTCCCAAATGCAGCCTAAGAGAACTGTAGCCCCTACCCCATAAGAGCCACAGGCATGGTGTGTGCTGTTTGGTGCCTAAACTCACAGCCCTTGGGTGCACTGACTGAGATGCTGTGATTCCCAGAGGAAGCATGGCAAGAATTCGAAAGAATACGGGCATACAAGACAGTCTTCTCACAGTGGGACATCCTGCAGACATTGCCCTCAGCCCAGCCCCTCTGCACATGAAGGTGAGGGGACAGCAAGCCCCCCTCCGCTAGGGACTCCTGGCAGAGCCTTGGGCACAGCCTCACCATTCTCAGGACTCTTCATAATGATACCTAATTCAGATGATAAAGAACACCAGTGTCAAAAAGCTCATCAGATTGACTTCCCCATTTTGTGGATGAGAAAACTGAGGCCAGTGAGTCTGTTCTGTCTGCCACAGGGAGAGAGGGTTCTGTCATATTCATCCCAAATGACAGGACAGTGTGTGTGTCAGCCCAGGAAACCTAATATTTATCCAGAGACAAGACCCAAATCCCCCACAGCTAACCTGAGCTGTGCCCCAAGGTGCCCTCTCCACAATGGAGCAGCTAGCTGGCCAGAGAGGTCACCCCAGTTTTCTCCCCTGGTTCTGGACCCACAGCTGTGCCCCTCTGTCCCTCTGCTCCCTAGCCCTCTCTGCCTTCTCTCACCTCCTCTGGCATTGTCTCAGCTGCTTCATACCTTCACCTACAAGCAGACAGACAAATGATTGAGAATGGTGGCTGCCCCTGAAGCTGAGGTGTCCCAGCGAGTGTTCCTAGAGCCTCTGAATAGGTGTGAAGGAAACAGGTCATCAAGAGGCTACTTATTTGGGACTCGAGTGCACACTGAGATTTCACCTCCTGGCGTTTTTCGTTTTGAGTACATGCTGTCTGTATTCCAGGACCCAGAAAGATCCTGGGGAGGGGAGGAGAGGGGAGGAGTGGCGGGGAAAAGCCAGCCTGGGAAGACAAATGGGTATGTTGAGTTTATGGATAAGGGGTGCATTGGGGGCTACGGCAGAGTCCTCGGAGTCACCTTGGAGGATTGCATGGCAGAACCTGTGACAGGGCTGTCTGTGGATTAACAGGCTGCTTAAGGCTCAGAGCTACCAACTGGCTACAAGGCTGATCTCTCAGGAGAACGCGCTGGACCCTCAGGAGGAAGGTGTGTGGGCTCCAGAGTTTTCCACCCAGCTCTCCATTACAGCTGCACCGACCAGCTCAGTGATTCTCGGCTCCGGCTGCGCAATAGAATCACCTGAGGGACCTTGAATATCAGATCCCTCACGTCTCCCACACCATTTTAAATCCAGATCTCTAAGCGTGGGCCTCAAAGGGGCAACCAGGGCTCAGAACCCCTGCTCTGACCGGTTGTGGAGGACAAGAAAGCCCCCCAAACTGTTCCAGGCCTGACACCCCGGTATGTCAAAGGAGCCATGGGCAGGACTCAGGAGAAATGGCATGTACTGTTTTACCTGAAAGACCAGCCATGCATGTTCATCTCTAAAACTTCCGGAAACCCAGAAAAGTACAGAGAAAACCCCACAGGGGCGCTGGAAGCCTTTCCCAAGGCAGCGGTGAGAGGGGTCCTGATAAGAGCCCCCACTGGCTAACAGCTCCCTGCTTTTACCCTGCGGTGGGGAGCAGAGTAGATAACCCCACTTCACATTGGAGCACTGGGTCACATTGCCCACCAAGAATGGAACTGTGCCATCCCCGCTCTCCCAGGTGAGCAACAGCCAGCTGGCCCCGTGCAGGTGCTGAGATGATCCTGCTCAGGCTGTGTCTGGATAGGGTGTGTGTGCACGACTGGGCGGGGCCACACGGGTATGTGAGGCATGGACACCTGCCCCTTTGCAGGGACCTAGAGCTGTTCTTGGGGCCGACCTCAGACTCCACAGGGCCTATCAAAGTGGAGGCCCCACGGGCATAGCGACTAGCCCCGCCCTCTCGGGCTCGAAATTCCCACGGCGCCCTCGGGGAAGTAGCTCTTGGGCCGTGTGCGCCCCGGTGACAGTCTCACTGCTCCTCTGCGTCCTGCAGCCAGATGTGGGTGACCCACCCGCCCCGCCCCAAGGTTCTCCTCAAAGGCGCTTTTCCAGGCAGTGGGACCCAGGACCCGGGTCAGGCAGCCCCACTCCCAGCCCCACACCCTGTCCGTGCTCCGGAGGAGCGTACCCCCCTGCAGGACTCCATCTCTGTGAGGGTAGACATTCTGCACCTGTCTGGGAGGGACTCAAGTGAGGCCTGGGAATTGGAGCTGAGGGAGCCTGGGGGCGGGGCCTGGAGGGCGGGGCCGGGTTTACAGCGCCTGCCCCGCCCACTCTGGGCCACACAACTGCCTTTGTCAATATTGACCCGGAGCTGGCTGGGCCTTGGAAGATAAGGCAGGAAGGAACAAAGTAACGGCTAAGAGCCCTGGAACCTGTCTGGACGAGGGTGGGGCTGGGCCGCAGGGGTGAGGCCCCGGGGCGGAAAGAGGTCAGTAGGAAAAGGGGGTCATGGTCAGGGCGGTGCTGGCCGAAGTAAGCCAGGTTCAGCGCCCTTCCGACTCCAGGCCCAGATCCATGGGAGGGTGACCTAGTGGTGGTGGAGCCCCCTTCTTTCTCTAGGAGAGGAATGAGGGAGGCGCAGGGCACCCCCTTGTCCTTGCAGTGCCCTACCTGTGAGCACTACCCTGGGTCTCAGTTTCCCCTGTGCCATGGTCCCATAATCCCATGAACTGGAGAGTGTCCACACCAGATGCAACGCGCAGTGTTGCTTATCTTGACCCCAGGGTCCACTGCCATCTCTCCAGGGCCTGGGATCACAGGTTACGTTACAGGATGGGGCTGTTCTAGAGTAGGACACCCAAGGTCTTTGCCCACCCAAGGTCTTCAGGGTCCCAGAGACACAGAGAATTCTGACGGGAGGGGTGTTGGAGAGGACCCTGTGCCCCTCACTAAGCTGCTAAGGCTGGATTGTGCCAGGCAGGGTGTCCTGCGCACAGCGGGTGGAAGGATGTGACCTCCCCTGCCTTCTCAGAGGAGGAAATGTCAACTCAGAAAAAATCCAAGAGAAACATCTCCAAAGTCATTCAGCCAGTGGGTGCTTCCGCTGGGGTTGGCCCCTGACTCTGGTGAGAACTCAACTCCAGGGCCCGGCTTCAGGACAGACCCCAGCAAAGGGTCCAAACACACCCCCACCGGATCAGGCACAGGCCACCAGAGCATGTCAACAAATGTTGATTAAGCAATTGCTGTGTACCAGACACCATTCTAGACTCAGAGATGCAGCAAGGAGCAAGGCCTTGCCCACAAGGGGCTCGTGTTGTCGCTGGGGACACAGACACTACGCAAGGATCCTAACCAATAAGGTTATCAGCTTCTGAAAGCACTAAGAAGATAAGGAAGCGGGAGCATGGCTGGGAACCAGGAATGCTTCAGCTAAGGCGGTCAGGAGAGGCTCCTCCGGGGAGGTGACATTTTGGTTGAGGCCAGAAGGTGGGAAAGGTGCCTTGTGAAGATCTAGGGGAGACGTTTCCAGGCAGAGGAAACAGCAAGTGCAAAGGTCCAGAGACTAGACTGAGGGTGGGGTCTGAAGGAACAAAAAGTATCTTGCAGCTAGAACATAGTGAGCGATGGGGAGATGCCGTCAGGCGGCAGGCAATTTGGGGTTTTATTTTTAAGGAAGCCGCTGGAAGGTGAATAGCATGATCTGATTTATGGTTAAAAACCCCCTCTGGCTACTGTGGGAGAATGAGCAGAGGCCAGAGAGACCGAGAGACACAGAGGGAGGCTTGTGCTGCCGACTGGTGAGCGAGGCTGGCTCCCGGAGCAGGGCAGGAGTTGCGAAAGGGCTGGCCAGGCTTAGGATCCGGATGAACCAGTGACCAGGGTGAATCAGACTGGCCAACGGCTGCCCCGTGGGTGGGAGGGAAGGAGAGGAACCCAGGATGGCTCCCAGCTTTGGGGCCTGAGCAACCAGCTGGACATTTGTGCCATTCCCTGAGGCTCAGAGTAGGTGTATCTAACAGAGGCCTGATGCGGATGTCAAGTGTGAAGTCAGATGTGACCAGTTAGATGGCATTCAGGAGTCGGTGTCTGAAAAAACACTAGCATTTCCATGGTATTTACAGCCTGGGCACTGGAACTAGGAAAGAAAATAGAAAAGAGACAGGAGCGAAGGCCTCTGTGTCCTCCGACATTTAAAGGCCCCCAAGGCAATGATGGAGGGGCTGGCGAGGCAGGCAGAAAACGGGCTGTGGGCTGTGTCAAGAGGAAGGGGTGGTAGCAGGGTCCCTGGCTGGTGAGTGGGAGGGTAAGATAAAGACAGAACCAGCAGCCAGCTTTGGCAAGAGGGGGCACTGGTGACTAGGAAAGAGCCCTTTCTAGGGACTGTGGGAATGAAGACCAGCTCGCATGGACAGAGACGGACCCTGAGATGAGGAAGTGGGGAGAAGTGAGGACGTGAATTTCGCTGGGCACAGGGAAACAGGCGTGCACAGGCGGAGCCAGACACACACAGGAACAGAGGGCTGGGCAGGCATTCTCTTACACGTGGGGCCAGACACACACACAGGGACTGACCTATGCCCTTCACACACTAACTCCGTCTGTTAAACACAGGCACACGCTGGCAGTAGGTCCTCCTGGGCTCACATGGACTCAGATTTCCTGGAGTTTCCTCTACCCTGTGACAGGGAGCTATGGGGGTGAGGATTGGACAGGGGGAAAAGGGCCTGGGGCCAATGGGCAGGTTTTAGCAGAGTATCCTAGAAGGGGCAGCCACCCTGACTGGGCTATGGCTGGGACTGAGGCCGTAGGTAAGGGATGGCCATGCCCCTGGTGTTTCTGGAAGGCTCTATTTCTAGCACCTCCCCCACCCTAAAATCAGAAAGGAAAGGAGGGGCAGCCGGAGGTGCGGGAGAGGTGTCTTCTGTGTAAGGGCAGCCTGGCCTCTCCCACGATGGGTATCAGGGCTCCCTGGGGAGGGCTGTGCTGGGCATTGAGCCCACACTGGAGGTGGGAGGACAGCAGAGGTGCTAGAGAGAGCCCTAGCCACCTTCCCCCACCTCCTGAAGTGACCTGGGTCTCACAGAAGGGGAGTCACAGTATATTCCACGCCCTTCTCTTAGCCCAGCCCAGGCCCTCATCCCCTGCTCTCTTGGCACCAGTACCCAGGAGGCTCTCAGGGAGCTGGATCAATATTTGTTGACTGACTATGTGACTGACTGTTTGAATGCCCAGCCCGCCAAGCAGTGAGGTGTGTCCTGCAGGGCGGGAGCAGAGATTGAGTTACAGGGGAGGAGGGGTGGTGGGCAGAGCCTGGCCCCACGCCAGGCCCAGCACTGCCCACAGGCAGGGTGAAGGCGCCAGCAGTTCCAGCAGGTAGGCCTGGCGGGGAGGGGGCGTGGGGCACAGCCGGGAGGGAAGGGGCAGGGGGCTCTAGATAACCGGGTGGGGAGGGCTGTTCCAAGTTAGGGGTGTACAGTGTGGGGGGGCACAGGGCTCCGGGTTATGGAGGAGCCGGCAGAATTGGGGAGACAGCAAGCAGCCCAACCAGGGCGAGCACTGGTGGCAAGGGAGGCCGTGGCCCACGGGAAGCCAAGTGGCAGTTTCTGTGCGGGTGGGGGTCGCTGCCACCCACGGAGTGGGTGCACCTGGAGAGCAAAGCCCAGCCCTGCTCCCCTCCACTGCAGCCGGCAGGGCCCCTCCCCGCTTCCTGGAAGTCGGGCAGAGTCAACTCAGTTAAATACCTGGGGGAGAGGAAGGGGTGCCAGAGGAGGGAGGCGGCACCTGGGTAGAGAGGAGGGGCGCCGGGAAGGGAGGGGGCCCTGGGGGAAAGAAGGGACAGTCTGAAAAAGGAAGGGAGTCCCTGGGTGGGAGGAGAGCCCAGAAGCGAGGAGAGGTCAGGGCAGAGCAGGTGCACTGGGCAGGAAAGGGGTGTGGGCGGGGGGCACTGGGGGAAAGATGGGGGCTCTGGGGAGGGGGGTGCATGTGAGGAAGGAAGGGAGGGCCCAGCGGGGACACAGGGCCACGCAGGAGAGGAGGGGCACCAAGGGAGAGAAGCGCAAGTCGGAAGAGGAACTGGGTATCTGGGAGAGAAAAGGGGCCCAGAGTGGAGGGACCCAGCCCCCAGGGAGAACAAGGGGGTTCCACTAGGAGGCGGGGACGCAGGGCAGTGGTCCCCTCTCAGGGTTGGTGATGGAAGGGACTTCCCCATGGAAAGGAGGGGGCACCTGCTGGCAGGAGGGCTTGGTGATTTAGGGGGGCTCTCTGGGGAGGGAAGAGAAAGGGACTGCCTGGGGAGAAGAGGGGGTGCTAGGGGAAGAGAGGCCCCCCACCCTTTGAGCACCCCTTCCCCCATCCCCCCAGAACCCAGTGGGAAGGGGATGAACACAGGTTCCATGGGGATGAGGGCCTCAGACCCTGGGAGCCTGAGCGTTTGGCTCTCCAGACTAGGATTGGATATTGACTAGGGCATCCTCCCAGTCCCTCGGACATGATGCTGTCCCCACCCAGTGAACCCAGCCCAGTCCCAACTTTCCTGTCCCACGTGGTGACCTCTGGGTTGAGGCCAGCCAGTCTTCCTGTCACTCTGTCACTGTTTCACACTGTTGCATGATCTACAGCTCAGAGCTGGTACCTCTGTTCACTGTCTGCTTGTGCCCTGGTCGCTGTCACTGGTCACTGCTTCTTTCTGCCTGTCACCAATGAATGTCGCTGTGCCTGTTACTTGGTATCATCGTATGTTTTCTGTTGATTGACACCACCATTACATTGTCACTATGTCTGCAGGTCAATCACGTCACTATCACACCAACAGGCCATCGACTGCAATAGCAGGTCTGGGTGCAGCTCGAGCTCACGGTGACTCCCTTCTCTCCACTTTCACTCAGTCCAGTCACAGGCCACAGGTGTCATTCATTCAACAACTATTGGCCGAGTGCCCTCTGGGAGTTGGCAGTAAACAAGGAAAGCCCCTGGCCTGGGGAACCCTCTGCTCTGATGAGGGAGACCATGCCAACATCATATGTGATCGCCAAAGAGTGTTCTGAGGGGGCCAGGCTTTGATAAACGCAGCTGTAACCTGCCTCCTCTAGGAGGACTGCCCCCTCTGCCCGCCCTGCTCTGGGCAGCTCCCTACCCCCGCCCCAGACACACACACACACACACACACACACACACACACACACACACACACACACAGACACACACACTTCCTTGGCCACCTTGTCCCTCTTTGAGAGGGTTGGGTGTTTCCCACAGTGGATGGTGAGCTCACCAGGGCCTGAGCCCTGCCCTCGGGGGCCCTTGACAAAGGTGTAAGGAATGCAAGCCACTTTGTTTCCCTGTCAGGCTCTGCTTCTGCGTCTGTAACTCGTATCCCGTCTTCCACCTTGGTCATGCAGGGTCAGCAGAGCCAAGGGTTTTCCTCCTGCCGATAAGACATGCTGGACTGGAGTGGGGAGGGGAGAAGGGTTGACACCAGGGCTACCAGGGATGAGAAATTCGGAAAGCAGTGACTTCTGGGTCTGTCGAGCAAAGCAGCAGCAAGAAGAAACAGTTGCAGCTGGCAGGATTTAGGTTACACCTAGAAAGAACTTCCTTGTATAAAGGAATGAGGAAACCTCCCACAGGTTTCTGAAGGAGTGGTGCTGGGAAGCCTGGGGTAATTGAGAGTCACGTGGGGACATGCAACAAAAATTGAGCCTCCGCAGATACCTCGCATTCCTCACCCCTCTCTCTCCTGTGAGCATTCAGAACCGCAGAGCACGAGCTCAAGCTAAGTCGCCGTTTGCAGAGCCTGTATGTAATAAGAGTTCAGCAGTGTTTCAAGGATTTAAGGGCACTTATGATTTATGCAGCCTGCTCCCGTTAGCGACGCCTGTCACTTGCTGCAGAGCCTGTCACAGTGTTCGGTGACAGCCCTCCCATGCAGTCCTCAGTTTGCAGAACCTTTGTCTTGTCTACAGAGCCTGTTTCTGTCCTAAGCCTGTGTCTATTTTCAGTCTTCCCCGCCCCCCGCAGAACCTGGGTCTTTTTAAACAGCCTGTCCGTGATAGGCTTTGATTGCAGACGCTGCCCTGCCTGCACAGCCTAACCCTGTCCACAGAGCTTGTCTCTGTCCTTGTCTGGGACACTGCTTTCTGCCTAAAGACACTGTTCCCATTTGCGAAGCTTGCCCTGTCCCTATCAGCAGAGCCTGTTTCCTCCACAGTAACTGTCTGTCTCTAGATGATGTTCCTGTTTGCCGTCTTTTCCTATTTCAGAGCCTGCTTCTGTCTGTAGAACCTGAGCCCTATTTGTCCAGTCTGTGACATTTTTCAGGGCCTTTGCCCGAATTTCCCTGGATAGAAACTGTGTCAGTTGCAGGCCCTGTTCCTATAAAGAGCATATCACTGTCAAAGTCGCTGTGTCTATCTGGGAGCACCTGTGACTTTCTGCAGGGCATGTCCCTGTGTGCAGAGCCCGTGCCTCCCTGCACACTCTAGTCCTAATTCCATGGGTGCCTGTTAGCAGAGCCCGTCCCTGTGGACCGAGCTTTATTTCCAGAGTTCATCCTTTTCTGGAAAGCCTGCCCCTGTTTGCAGAAACCCGGCTCCCTACAGAACCCAGCCCTGTTTCAAGATCTTGCCCGTGTCTGGGGCATCTGTGCTTGATCACAGAGCCGATTTCCCTGCAGCTCCTTTCTGCAAATGCTGCCATCTCTGAAGAGCCATCGTTGTTAACAGAGGCTGTCTGTTTGCAGAGCCTGTGTGGGCTTAACAAAACCTCTCCCTATCTGCAGAGTTTGTCTATAGAGGCTCTTTCTGCAGCGCCTGTGGTTTTTTTTTTTTTTTTCAGAGCCTGGGTTTCTCTGCCGAGCTCATGGCTGTTTGCCCGGCCCACCCCCATCACCCCGTAGGCAAGCTTTGAGTCAGCTTCCCGAGCCTCTTTCTGTCCCTGGCCTCTTTCAAGAGCCTGCCTCTGTCTGGGAAGCACATCTAAGATCGAAGATGCTGTGCCTATTTGCAGACCTTGCCTATCCATGTAGATGTGGACCTTGCCCGTATCCACAGAGCCTGTCCCTATGCAGAGTCCCTGTCTTAAGGGTTTGTCCCCATTCATATTTCTTTGCAAAGTCCTTCCCGGTCTGCAAAGCTCTTCCATACCTGCAGAAGCTATGACTGTAGAGTTTGTTTGTTTGTTTTGTTTGTTTTTCCCAGTGTTCATAAGCTTTGCTTGTTTGCCTAGCCTGTCTGAGTTTCCCTGGGTAGAGTCTGTGTCTCTGCGCAGGCCATCCTTACACACACAGATGACCCCTAACCGCAGAACTCATTTTCATCAGGAGGACCTTGCCTGTTGCCTCCCTTTCTTCTGTTTGAGGGAGCTGTCCCTGTTTTCAGAGCCAGTGCTTGCATGCAGGGCCTTTTTCTATCCACATAGCCTATCATCCTCTGCAAGTGTCCTGTCCCTTTGCATAGCCTGTTCCTAACAGTCTGGGAAACCTAGGTCTATTTGCAGCTCTGTCCTTTGGTGCGGAGCCTGTCTGTGTCTACAGGATTCAGTCTCAAGAGCCTGTCTCTGTTTGCAGAGTCTGTCCCTACCTACAGAGTCTGTTATTCTAGCAGAGCCTCTGCCTGTGTGCATAACCTAACACTGTCTACAGTGACTGTCCTGACTGTAGATCCTGTGTCTCTCTGCATAGCCTGTTTCTAACTCCCTGTTTGCAGAGGTTGTCTCTATGTTCAAAGCCTATCCCCGTCCACAGAGCTCAGCCCCGATTCAAGAGCACAGCCAAGTTTCTGTCTGCAAAGTCTCTGTATGCCCACGTCTGCAGGACCTATCCTGGTTTGCTGGCATCTGTGTGTTTAGAGAGCCTTCCTAATGAAAACAGGTGCTATGATGAGGTTGCTTGCTTGACCGGAAGAGGTTTTTTTTGTTTTGTTTTTTTCTTCACATACAGAGTTTTCTTAAATTCTCACCACAATTGCAAGGGACAATTGATGGGCCTCTGTTGCATTTTTCTACCTGAGGACACTCCTGCTCCTCTTCCATATTTGGCATCACCCTCATTCCTCGTGTGCCACTCACTGAGTTTTTAAAGGAGCTTGTCCCCCGGCCACAGCCTGTGGCCCAGAAGCGACTACCATGCCAATTAGTGACCACTGGGATTCGTGCAGTGGGCTGAAATCTAGCTTCTAAGAATTTGTCCCTGGGATCTGGTAAATGGATGCTGGGCAGGGTAAGGCCTCCTTTCCCCCAGGATCACTGGCGGGGATTGTGTAAGCCGCGAGCTGTCTTTGCCATGCTCACTGCCCCCTCCCCCGTGTAGAACCGGAAGAGACCGGTCTGTAGTGGGTGAACCGGGTGAGTTCTTGCCTGAAGCCCAAAGTACAGGCGGCCAAGGTCTGAGAACTCCGGCTCTTGTTTCCTCCCTCGCCCCTTCCCGGCCTAGGATGGACGTCATCAAGGGCCTCCCAGCCATTGACAGCCACAGGGACCTCCACATATGGATCATTGAGGTGAGGGGCACAACCAGATGGCAGAGTTGGTGCCACAGAGAGTGTGTGGTCTCTGGAACAAGGTTTCTCCCGCCCCTCAACTCAGCTCCCTTTTTCCTACCCCAGAGGGTCATGGGTGTGTGCATGGGTCAGGGGTGGGGGGTTGGAGGGTGTCTCCCGAGTTGTCACTAGGCACCTTCCTCTCCCAGAACCTAAAGATGGTGCCTGTCCCCGAGAGGGCTTATGGGAACTTCTTCGAGGAACATTGCTACATCCTCCTCCACGTGAGCATTGGGGAGTCTGACTGAGAGGGTGGCACGGCCCAGCCGGGGAGTCTGATGGTGCAGGGTAAGCGCCACGGCAGGTGGGAGCCCAAGCATCCTATCTCACAGGGGGCCGCTGCCTTTGAGGCCTCTTGGTCCTTCCCTCTCCATTCTACTAATAGATTTCCTGCCCACTCTCCCCAAGGCCCTTGGCACATCCTCAACCTTGATCTTGGTCTCCACTCATGTCTTGGTCCTCAGCACCCACGTCCAATCCTCAGCCCCTCCACATACACACACACTTGGGCCCTAGGTTCCCCAGAGCCTGAAAACCACGCAGGGGCCGTCCAGCGACCTGCACTACTGGGTTGGAAAGAAGGCGGCCGCAGAGGCGCAGGGCGCGGCCGGCACCTTAGTGCAGCACCTACAGGAGGCGCTGGGTGGCGCCACAGTGCAACACCGAGACGTACAAGGTTATGAGTCCGACTGTTTCCGCAGCTACTTCCACCCCGGAGTCATGTGAGTGAGGGGGCTGGGGGCGTGAGGGGAGGGGACAGGTCCGTGGGGTGGCTGGGCGGCCTGGATGACTATGTCCCTCATCCCTAGCATGTGGGGTGCTTTGGGATGGCCAACAGCCTTATGGAGATGCAAATCCCATACCATACAACTCACCCATTTAAAGTATACAATGAAGTGATTTTTAGTATATTCACATATTTGGGCAACCCTCACAATTTTAGAATGTTTTCATCACCCCAAAAAGAAACCCCATACCCTTTACCAACACCCCCTTATTTCCCTCAACATTCCTGCCCCCAGTCTGTATAGATTTGCCTATTCTGGACATTCCATATAAATGGAATTATATAACATGTAATACGCGTTATGTGGCTATACCACATTTTTATGTATTCATCAGGTAATGGACACTTAGGTTGTTTCCACTTTTTAGATGTTATAGATAATGCTGTTAACATTTGTGTATTAGTCTTTCAGGTTTTTTCAAGTTTTATCGCGATGTAATTGACATACACCACTATAAGTTTAAGGTGTACAGCATATACTGTGACTTACATATATATACTGTGAAATGATTACCGCTATAAGTTTAGTTAACGTCCATCGTTGTGTACAGGTTTTTGTGTGGACATTTGTTTCTCACTTCCCTTGGAAATATACCCAGGAATGGACACCAGTGTTGTTTTAAATTTGCATTTATGTTATGCCTAGTAGAAATATGTCTTTTGCTGTGAATTGTTTCAAATATGTGTTAAATTAATAGTTGCAATGTATTAGGTTGAACCACAGGAAATTGCCAACATTCGATTGTTTCTGTTTCATACAGTTGAACCTAATATGTGCATATGGTATATTCAGGAACACATACACACATACACACATGCACATGCGGCAAACACGCCACCCCATATGTGCCCACCCATAGATGAGCACACCTGCACTCATACGTGAATATTCACGCCCACCCACACACATATGCTGTTGCCCAAATTCCACACTCTCACATTGACACTCATGATGCACTCATGCCCCTACTTGTACACAGGTGCATTGTTACGTGAACATGCAGGTGCGTGTGTATTTGCATGTAGTCACATCTGCACACATGTGTAAACAGGCACTGTGCCCCCCGCAGGTATACACAATACATATACATGCATGTGTCCACACAGCCACACATGGATAAACAAATGTTCACTCCTGCCCGCATGTGTGTAGCCACATGTGTATTAAGCAGACACATGCATATCCCCACATGTGTGCATACATGTGCTCACATATGTGCTCACTCTCACACATGGCAGTGCATGGTCTTACGTGGGACCCCATTTCCTCTTCAGCTACAGGAAGGGAGGCCTCGCCTCTGCCCTCAAGCATGTGGAGACCAACATTTACAACATCCAGCGACTGCTGCGTATCAAAGGGAGGAAGCACGTGTCAGCCACTGAGGTGAGGGCTGCCAGGGATGTCACTCGACCTCCAGACTCAGCTCAGACTGCACATACTGAAGTATAGAGAAGCGTGGGGGGTGGCGGGGAGTGGGGGAGACCACAGGCTGTCAACGTTCCCAGATGGCTTATCTTGAGTGAGGAGAGAGAAGGCAGAGCCAGGCTCAGACCCCCTCCATGGCTCCTTTGACTCTCTCTTTCCTCATCTGTCTCATAGGCATGCTAAGAACTTGGAGGGAGGGGGGGTGAGGCAGACAAGATGGTGGGCCTGGACGGTCCCTATGAGCTGCACAAGAAGTAGTATGATTTGGGGAGGGGGTGCACAGCCCTATGCTGTCATACACATTGTCATGGTCACCTATACACTGTCTCCCACTGTTAATTCTTGGTGCCACTCTAGCCCGTAGAATGCCCTTGTGCAAATTAGAACATGGATAACACACTGTTCCCCACACAGGTACACATACACTATCACCCATGAGCTCACACACTTGTTCACATTTGATGTGCCCCCACAAATGTACAGGTGTACTTGTATATACACACATCTACACACATGGATAAACACATACGTGGGCCCCCGTTGTATACTCGTGTATGTGTACACCATGTGAAATGCGGCATTCCCTGGTCACAACCCTGGAGATGCACACAGCCACACCCACAGTGTCCCTCAGGATCTCATATGGTTACACAGATACGAAGTTGGACAATGAAGTTCGCAAATTCATCCTAGAGAAAGTGCTACATACCTCATTGCTGAATATCACTATGGTCACCTTCGAAGTACCCCCCCTTAGGAAGCTATGCACCAATGCCAGTGCCTAGTCCAGCCTCGAAAGCAGTTTTGGAATTCTTTTTCTGGAATGGCCTCAGAGCTGTCCTCATGTTACCCTTGATGTCCTGAGTTTTATCAAAATGTCTTCCTCTCAATATTTCCTTATCTTCAGGTAAAGAAAGAAGCCATTGGGGGCCAGATCAGGTGAATAGGGAGGGTGTTCCAATACAGTTATCTGTTTACTGGCTAAAAACTCCCTCACAGACAGCGCCGTGTGAACTGGTGCATTGTCGTGATGCAAGAGCCATGAATTGTTGGCAAAAAGTTTAAGTTTTCTAACCTTTTCAGCCTTTTCAGCACTTCCAAGTAGTAAGTTTGGTAAACTGTTTGTCCAGTTGGTACAAATTCATCATGAATAATCCCTCGGATGTCAAAAAAAGTTTTGCAACATCGTTGCAACACGTCCGCGAACTTAATCGTCAGACCTTCATACATGCTTGCACACATACATTCAGTTGCACACAGCTTCATGCAAACAAATGATGCACCTGAGCTGTGCTCATGTAGGTGGGCACAGGCTGTAGTACCTCTCCGCCTGGGTGCTGGTGGTATGACACCCCGCCTCCTTCCCCGCCCCTCCTGGCTCTGGCAGGTGGAGCTCTCCTGGAACAGCTTTAATAAGGATGACATCTTCCTGCTGGACCTGGGCAAGGTGATGATCCAGTGGAACGGGCCCAAGAGCAGCACTTCCGAGAAGGCACGGGTCAGTGTCTGCCCTGGGAACTAGCAAGTCCAGGGCTAGGGGAGGGGGCGGTCCTCCAGGTGCCCATCCTCTGGCCACCCCAGGAGAAGGCCTGGCTCTCTGCTGCAACCTGAAAAGCAACTGCTAAGTGCAAGCTGAGTCCAGACCCTGCATTGGTGGTGCCCCGGGTGCCAGGATAAGGGGGCACTCTCCTGCAGCCTCTGGGAGTTGAGCAGTGACAGGAACGACCTGGGATGGACCGTCTGACAGGTGAGAAGGGCATGCTGGGAAAGCCCTAACGGCGAGGTCCACTCCTGCAGGGCCTGGCCCTGACCTGCAGCCTCCAGGACAGGGAGCGCGGTGGCCGTGCACAGATTGCTATAGTGGATGATGAGGGCCAAGCCGCTGACCTCATGGAGATCATGGAAGCTGTGCTGGGTTGCAGAGTGGGCAACCTGTACGCCACCATGCCCAACAAGAGTATTAACCAGCTGCAGAAGGCCAATGTCCGCCTGTACCAGTGAGCAGACCTTGGGAGCGGGCAGCGTGGGTGGAATAGCCTAGGCCTGTGTGTCCATCGTTACTGTAGTAACACGGGGTCTCTAGAAAGGCCTCCAGAAAAGGCCCGTGGGTTTCTGGGGCAGGCCACGTGGGACCTTGGGCCCAGCCTATACTCTTGCATGGCCGCCTTTCGGAGAAACCCCTTGTACAGACAGGGTGACTAAGGCCCCGAGAGGGCCAGGCAGCTGCCTAAGGCTCCACAGCAGGGCTGCAGTGAAGTCAAGATTTCACCCCAGGGCCCCAGCTCCCGTGCCTTCTGCCTCTGGGGGAAGGGGGACTGAAAGGGGCTAGAGTGGAGGGGCTGAGCTGCCCACACCTGGATGCCTGTCTCCCAGTGTCTACGAGAAGGGTGAGGACCTGGTGATCCAGGAGTTGGCAACCCGTCCGCTGACCCAAGACCTCCTGCGTGAGGAGGTGAGGCAGGCCTGGCCCCAGCTACCCCACAACTCCACCCATCTGGGCCACCTACTGACCAGCCTCCCTCTTGCTCCCAGGACTGTTACATCCTAGACCAGGGGGGTTTCAGGATCTATGTGTGGCAGGGACGCATGTCTAGCCTCCAGGAGAAAAAGGCTGCCTTTAGCCGTGCTCTGGTAAGGCTGTGGGGCCCTGTCTCAGAGGGACGTAGCACTGCTCTGGGGCTTGAGGTGGGGGGGCAGCCCTGCCCTGGGGTCTGAGGGAGGAAACCACCCTACCCTGAAGTCTAAGCTGGGAGCCATCCAGGTTCTGGGGCCTGAAGGGGCAGTGAGTCCTGCCTTGGGAGCCCTGTCTGATGGAAGAGGACATGACCTTGCCCTGGGGTCTAAGTTTGGAGACAGACTGCCTTGTCTGAGGGAGGAGACGGCTCTGCCCAGGAGCCTGAGAGGAAACACAGGACCCCTCTCTAGGGTCCTGGGGGATGTGGCCTGCCCTGGGAGCCCTGACAGGGGGAAGAAGCACCCAAGAAACCATGTGTAAAAGGAGGATATGGCCCCGCCGTGAGGCCCGAGGAGCCTACCGCACTGGGCACGTCCTTCCTCTCCAGGAAGGGAGACAGGGCCCTGCCATTAGTCTGACGGGTTGTCATGGCTGGCCCTTTCCTAGGCTCACACCAAGGGGCCCCTACCTGTCCTCAGGGACCTCAGAGCAGTCGGTAGTGACGGAGCCAGCCCCATAAAGTGGGTCATGAGCTCAGTTAATTACTGCTGCTCAGTGCTTGGCTGGCCCAGCAGCCTGAACAGCAGGTCCCCGTGGTTGGAGCAGAGAAGTGGGCCCTCAGTCCACGCGCCTGATAGAGCCCCCACCCCAGGGCTTCATCCAGGCCAAGGGCTACCCGACCTACACCAACGTGGAGGTGGTGAACGACGGCGCCGAGTCGGCCGCATTCAAGCAGCTCTTCCGGACGTGGTCTATCAAGCAGCGCAGAAACAGGAACGTTGGTGGGATCAGTGGGACCGGTGAGCGGGAGGGGCGGAGCCTGAGGGACGGGGCAGCACCCAGAGCCCTGGCAGGATGGGTGAGGGCGCGGGGTTGGAGGGGGCTTCTAGGATGATGGGCTGGGTGGGGAGAGCCTGCTGGGATGGGATAGGGGCAGAAGGCACCAGTGACACCCTCTGCCCCACCCGCAGGCAAACTGAGTGTGGTAAAGCTGGATGTGGGCAACCTGCACAGCCAGCCTGAACTGGCAGCCCAGCTGAGAATGGTGGATGACTGCTCTGGAAAGGTGGAGGTGAGCGGCACTGGCTTGGCTGGGGGAAAGTGGGCACACCGGGGTAGGCTTTGTTTTCAGGTGAATGGTATGGCTGCTAAAGTGACCCAGGTACACGCAGGTACACATCTACACACAATCAGACACCTAGGAGCACGTGTACATACACACACACACACACACACACACACACACACACACACACCCGACAGCCAACTCATACACATCACACCAAATCAATCACACACAGCCACGGCCACCCACGTGACACTCATGGGACACAGCACAGTAACACTCGGACACTTAATTGCACCCCTTTGTCACATGTATGATGCAGCCATACAGATGATAATATAGACACATATATTTCATCAGAGCCAAGGACACAACTGCAAGCACGGAACTGCACAGATTCCACATCTCACGTGGTTGGTCACACACACAACCCTCAACCCCCAGGGGCACACCAACACAGATACACAGTCACATATGATCAATCACAGCCCCACGCACCCCCAGCATACAGCCACACACTGTCAGCCACCTGTCTGGTCTTAGACTGGTGTTCTGGGAGATGCGGGGCTTGGGGGTCACTTCCAGGCTCTTATGGGGCAGGGTTGCATCTTGACCTGTTGGCTGACATCTGAGCAGCGTCTTTAATTCTTTTGGGCCTGAGGGGTTTTTTGGTTGTTTTTTTTTGTTGTTGTTGTTTTCCTACAAAATGGGGGCAAAAACTATGGTTCCCTCTGGCCCCAGGGCTTGTGCAGGGATGCTGAGACATTCTGGGAACAAGACTTCTGGGCCTGTGTGAGGGGTTCTAGTTCTCAAGGTAGGTCGCAGTCAGAGGAAACATTGTTTCTCCAAGGGCTCCTGCTACCATTGCCATAATACCGATGAACAGAGGCAGTGAGTGGGGAGAAACCAAGATGACCAAGCTAGGAGGAGAGAGGGCAAGGCGAGGCGGAAGGAGGGGACCAGGGGCGAGGAAGACAGGGAGAGGAGGGAGGCGAGAGCTGTGGGTGGGGAGAGATGGGGCACACAGGGAAAGGGGCAGACAGGCAGATGGAGAGGAAGACAGAAAAGCAGAGGAGGGCAAGGGAGGGAGAGAGGGAGGGCTCTGTGACCTAGGTCACAGCACAAAGGCAGGGAGGGGATCCCTCCCAGCAGGTGCATCACAGGCAGGTATGGGGAGGGCCTGAGCCAGGAGATCTGGCTGCCAGGTAAGTGCTCCTGGGTGGCGTGTGTTTGGAGTCAGCCTCTTCTGCAAAAGGCTGGATTTTGGACGCTCTGGAGACCTTCTCCAGAGATAAGTTCTGGGCTCTGTGTGGGCACAGGATGCCCAGGGGTTGTTTCCCGCCATGGCAAGGCGGGCACTGTTAGCCCCGCTTTACAGCTGGGAAAACCTGAAGCTCAGAAAGATCTCACTGCCAACACCGGCTGAACTGGGGCCTGACCAGGTCTGCCTGGCTCCAGAGCCCATGCTCGCCATCCACAGGAACAAGAAATCACGCTGTGAAATGTGAGGAAGTACATTCACTTAAGTCTTTGAACAGGCTTTGTTTTTTTAAGTGACCCTTGAAAAAAGGGAATGTTTCCAAGAACCCCAAAGGCCTTGTTTCTGCCCAGCTTCTGTCGCCCTGGGCTGAGCAGTGAGAGGCTCTGCCAGGACCCATCTGGCCCTAATCTGAGCTGTGGCTGGTGGGGTCAGGCTGGGAATGGTGTGTGGCAGGGGTCACATCTGCCTTGACAGCCTCTGGAGTCCTAGGCACCACGTGCCAACTCAGGGTCCTGGTGGAGAGCAGGCCAGCACCAGTGTGCTGGTTCCCAGGGGCCCATGGGGAAAAGGGTCACCTGCAGATCCTGGCACAAGACCAGCACAAAGCATGGGATCAGTGCAGAATTGGGGCAAGGCCCTTGCCTGCACAGATGAGGCTGAGGAGAGCTTTCCGGTTGAGCACAAGGTGAGTTCAGGCAGAGGAGCCACCTGTGCCCACTGGTCCCCTGTTCTTCAGGTGTGGTGCATCCAGGACTTAACCAGGCAGCCCGTGCACCCCAAGCTTCATGGACAGTTGTACGCAGGCAACTGCTACCTTGTCCTCTACACATACCAGAAGATGGGCCAAGTCCAGTACATCCTGTACCTCTGGCAGGTGCGTAGGTGTGAGGGGGTGGCGAGCAACTTCCAGCCCCAGAGCCGGAATCTAAGAGCTGCTCCGGTTCTCACCACCCCTGCCTGCAGGGCCACCAGGCCACCGCACACAAGATAAAGGCCCTGAACAGCAATGCCGAGGAGCTGGACCTCATGTACCACGGAGCCCTGGTGCAAGAGCATGTGACCATGGGCAGCGAGCCCCCCCACTTCCTTGCCATCTTCCAGGGCCAGCTGGTGGTCTTCCAGGTAGGACCCACCTTGCTGCCATGGCCGCAGCCTCACTGGCTCCTCCACGTGCCCGTGGCCCTCACACACACATGCCAGCACCTTCTCTTCATGCCAGGGCCACAGCTTACCACCCCCACCCCCACCCCGGTTTTCTGGTTCTTGTCTGAGGCCCAGGAGCTCCAAAGGTGACCCCTGCCTAAGTTTTTTGCCCCAGTCCTCAGAGCCAGCCACAGAGCAGGAGCACAGGTGAGGACGTTTAACTGAAAGGGAACCAGGATCTTGCCTGGGGTCACACATGGGCGAAACTGGTCCCCGCTTTCTGCCGTCAGGCCTGGGGGAACTATGCCCTGACCCCTCAGAGATGAGGTGAGGGGTCCATTTAGAAAGACCTGGTTCCCTATCCTAGACTGATGGGATCCTTGCTCTCTACACCCAGAGGGTCCAGAAAACAGTGATGGCTTCAAGCAAGGGTCCCCTGGGTGCTGAGGCAGTTTGTCCCCCACTGGGCCGGGGAGGCGGGGCTCCAGGAGTCCTTGCCTCAGCCTGAGGCCCAGCCCTCTTGCAGCGAAGCACTGAGCACAATGGGAAGGGACAGCCGGCACCTGCCACAAGGCTCTTCCATGTGCAAGGCACCGACAGCTACAACACCAGGACCATGGAGGTGCCAGCCCGGGCCTCAGCCCTCAACTCCAGTGACATCTTCTTGCTGGTCACAGCCGGCATCTGCTACCTCTGGTTTGGGAAGGTACCCCCAGCACTGACCACTTGATTCACGCCTGGGGCAGTGGTGCCAGGTGGGGATGGGGCCACTCCACGGCAGATGCGGACTTCAAGTCCAACCTCAGATAGGCCGGGAGCGGGGTGGGGAGAGAGGCCATGGTCTCCCCTCTGGAAGCTGGGGGAAGTTACACAGTGGCAGGTGTACCTGGGAGCCCACAGGTCAGAGCTAGGCCGGCCTGGCTGCCTCCCCTCCTTCCTGCCTTGAGCAAGCAGCAGGCCCCTTCCCACGTCTCTTGGAAAAAGGAGGCAGCCTAGTCCAGTTTGCCAGAATCTTCTCTGATCTTCAGCATAAACCACAAGTGATCCCCAAGCCTGGGAGTCCCCATCCCATGCTCTGGACCCAGAGTGGGTCCCAGTCCCTGTGACACTGAGCAGCTGGAGAGACGGCGGGAGGCAGCGGGAAGAAGGGAGATGGCTTGCTCATGTGTCCCCCACCAGCCAAGGCCTCCTGCGACTCAGGGCCCTATGCGTGGGGGCTGGGAGGCTGGAGGTGAAGACCCCTCTCCACGCAGGGCCTAACCCAGCTCTTTGCCTGCCAGGGCTGCAGCGGTGACCAGCGTGAGATGGCACGGATGGTAACCACTGTCATCTCCGAGAAGAACAAGGAAATCGTGCTGGAGGGTCAGGAACCTCCCCAATTCTGGGAGGCCCTGGGAGGCCGGGCTCCCTACCCCAGCAACAGGAGGTGACCGGGTTGGGAGGAGGGTGCTCTTCTTACACAGAAGAGGAAGCAGGCCCACAGAGGGTGGGTGGCTAATTAAGGGTCACACAGAGAGCTGGAGAGGCCAGACTAGAACTGAGGATTCTCAGAGGCTCCCAGGCGCAGGCTGGCCTCCAACCCTCACTCACCAGCCCCGGGTAACAGAGCCGGAGGATGCAGGGCGAGCAGGGCAGTGGCGCCCTCTGCTGGCTGAAGGTGCTCCCTGCATTCTCCAACCCCGCAGTCAGAGATTGAGATTGTGTGTGTAGTGTAATGTAATACGACATGTGGGTAAAGAGCGTGTATGGAGTGTGCAAAAACAGTATTTGTGTGTGGTATGTAAATGGGCAAGGTGTATATCAGAGGGTAGGGCAGAGTGAGGGCTCAAACGGAGGAGGGAGCTGAGTCCTGGGCTGCTCTGGATTGTCTGAGGGGCCTAGTTTAAGCACTGAACTCCTCCAAATCTCCTGAGTTCCGAAGTACCGCTGATCCCCTCTCAGCCTCGCTTCCCTCCTCCCACCTTCGGCCTGAGGCCACGCCCAGCCGGGGGTGGGACCAGCAGCGCCAGCACAGGCCTGCCCGACTAAGCCAGGCGCCCCTTTCTGGGGCCTACTCCTGGGGAAATTCGTGGGGCATCTTGTGCCACAGCTGGCTGGGGCTCGACGGATCCCCTATTCGACTTTCCCCACTGACAGATGGGGACACTGAGCCCCAGAGAGAAGCAGGGCATTCCTGGAGTGAATGAAGGGGTTAGTGGGACTCAGAGCTCAGAGGAGGGCCGATCCCTCCTACATTTGGAGCTGTTATTTCCCAGCTCCTGGAATGGGGCGCGGGGGCTGGGAGGGGGGCTGTGCTGAGGGCTAGCTTGGCCCAGGCTGGTGAGAGGCACAGGGCTCTCTGCGCCCCTCACGGCCTTGTGCCCACACTGGCCAGCCTCCCGGAGGATGTCTCCAACTTCCAGCCACGGCTGTTTGAGTGCTCCAGCCCGATGGGCCACCTGGTCCTTACCGAAGTGGTGTTCTTTAGCCAAGGGGACCTGGACAAGTATGACATCATGTTACTTGACACCTGGCACGAGGTGAGGTCACTTCTGCTTGACGGGGGTGTTTCGGTGTCTGTGTAATTGGCTGTCAGTGTGTGTGACTTTGTTTCTTGACATATGACTGCATGTAAGGCTGCGGGTGAGTCTGTGTGATTGTGTGTGACACTGACCCTGTGACTGTGCGACTGTGTGACCAAGGTTGTGAGACCGCGGACGACTCTGTATCATAGTGAGCCTTCGGGAGGCTATGACTGAGTCTGGAATGCATGTGTCATTGTGATGGGTTTTGTAGTTATATATAACTCCCTGTGCCTTAAAATGGTGTGTGGTTCCAGGTGACTGAGTGCATGTGGCTGACGTGTGTCGAGTGAATGACTGTAAACTGAATGACTGACCGTGTGCGCATGTGAAGCCTGTGAGACTGCATTTCCCTCTGGCTATGTGGCTGTGTGTAATGGCTGTAACTGGCCGGACCAGCCATAAGCAGCAGGATTGTGTGTGTGAGACTCTATGACTGGCTGTGGGTGTGAGTGACTGACTTTCTGTGTGGCTCGATCATTATGTTTCTGTGTGGCTGTATTTTCAGGCTGTTTTTCAGAGTGGGTGTGTGCGACTGTGTAATCAACTGTGATTGTGTATGTGCAACTATGTGTGGCTATGAGTGGCAGTATGTGGCTATGATTTGTTATCTGGCTGTATAGTGGATGATTGTGTCTGTGTAGCTAGGATCATGTGTGTGTGTCTGTGACACTGTGTGAATGTGATGAGGCTTGTAGACTCCCATCTCACTCAGAGCAAAACCAAAGCCCTTACTACAGCCCTGCACGGCCTGGCAACCCCGACTCTCTAGCCCTATCTGCTCCCTCTCTGCCCCTAGCTTGCTCGTCAGCCACAGTGGCCTCCATGCTGCTTCCCAAAGATGCCAGGCACGCTCAGGGCCTTTGTACTGGTTGTTTCTTCTGGTTACACACTTTCTCCCCAGGCGTACACATGACTTGCTCCCTCAGATCTTGACTCAAATGTCGTCTTCTCAGTAAGGCTCTCCCTGACTCAAATTTAAAATGACATTATTCCCACCACCCCTACCACACTTATCTTCTTTCCCTGCCTTATTTTTCTCCATCTGATACACTACAGGTGATACTTATTTTTCTGTTGCCAATACAATGGAAGCTCTACAAAGGCAAGGGTTTCTGTCTCTTTTTCTTTTTAGCTATTGAATCCCTAGTGCCTAGAACAGTGCCTGGCCCACAACAGCTAGTCAATAAATGCTTCTAGATTGAATGCATACATGTATGCCTGTGACCTTCTGGCGTGTTTATTGGTGTGTGGGTCTGGCGGCCAGCCTGCTGGGTGTGTCTGGTTGGCTGGTGTGTGCTTTGGCTCCGAGACCATCCGATGGACGGGGGTGGGAAGGAAGTGGACAGCTCTGGGAAGCCCCTGCACCTGCCCAAGGCCAGGCCCCCTCTGTGGTCCAGATCTTCCTGTGGCTTGGAGAAGCTGCAAGTGAGCAGAAGAAGGCCGTGGCCTGGGGCCAGGAGTACCTGAAGACCCATCCAGCAGGGAGGAGCCAGGCCACACCCATTGTGCTGGTCAAGCAGGCCCGTGAGCCGCCCACCTTCACTGGATGGTTCTACACCTGGGACCCCTACAAGTGGACTGTGAGTGAGGCCTGAACCCCTTGGTCCCACCCTAATTCGGGGCAGAGAGGCCTGCCCTGACCAGACTGAGAAGAGGCATTGCCCTGCCTGGGGACCTCCAGTGTGGGTTGGGGAGACCTGGTCTTGACTCCTGGGTCCCATGGGTGTCCTTCCATCTCACCCGTGCCCTGATTCTTGCCCCCAGAACAACCAGTCTTATGAAGAGGTGGTGGAGGGCAGCCTGAGAGCAATATCTGCCATCTCTGAGATAACAGCAGTTGAGTATTGGGGCCTCCCAGGGATCTGGACTCAGTCAGCGTGTTCCAAATGGGCAGAATGGGCAGGGAAGGGGCCAGTCCCTAGTAGGAGGCAAGGGTTGCAGCCAGGTGGCAAGAGGGCCAGTGGACTCAGTATGGCCTCCTGTGGGAGCTTATCCCCCATCTTCCCCAGCCTAAATCCCCTCTCTGGACAGGAAGTCCACAACTTCCGGCTGTCCAGATGGCCAAACAATGGCAGGACAGGCCCCTTGGCCCTGCAGGCCCTCAAGGGCTCCCAGGACAGCTCAGAAAGTGAGCTGGAGCTGGGCCCCAATGTGAGTGGCAGCAGTACCAGTATCAGCGCCAGCAGCTACCACAGCAGCCCCAGATCCATGATCAACGGGGGCCTGCCTCGCGAACAATTGATGCACCAGGCCGCCGAGGACCTGCCAGAGGGAGTGGATCCGGCCCACAAGGAGGTCGGTGCCCGAGACCCTGTACCACTCACTGGCCCAGCACTAATGCACCTAAAACCGAGTTGGAGGTGCCCAAGGCATGACCCACTCATGGTGGGCAATGGGTAGGCTTCCTGGGGAGATGTGTGTGTTCCAGATGAGGCGATGGATAGAGAGAGGTGGGAGAGGAGAGCCTGGAGCCCTGGGATGACCCCTCTGAGTGGGACAGAATTCTGGGTTCAGTTGACACCCGTTCCCTGTATCCACCTCTCCCACCCCACAGTTTTATCTCTCAGACGCCGACTTCGAAGATATCTTCGGGAAGTCCAAGGAGGAATTCTACAGCATGGCCAAGTGGAAGCAGCAGCAGGAAAAAAAGCAGCTCGGCCTCTTCTGAACTCAGGCCCTGCTCCCGCCAGTACCGCCATATGGCCAAGGCCCTATGGGTAACTCTCCCACACATAACTGAGCCGCAGGGGAGACTCCTGGGTCACCCCCACACACAAACACCCCCATCAATAAAAGCTTGTGGCCCTCATAAGGTGTGGTGTGTGGGCTTTGAAGTCTGGATCACTTAGTAGGTCCACCTCTGGAGGAAGGGGCCTCTGGGGCTGGAAGGGGTGGTCTCTCTGTACCCTCCTCCATGGAGGGGTTTGTTTCTTGCTGTTCCCTCCTGCCCAGGGGAAAAGACCCCCTCAGTACAGTGTGAGTGTGGGGAAGGTGGAGTGTGGTGCTGGGGCACCAGGGCTCTGGGACACACATGTGCACACACTTTACAGGAAGCGCCTGGCGTCCAGGTAAAGACACCACAGGACTCAGTCTTATGATTTTTATAAAAACCCTCAACCTAGGGCTGGCCAGAGGGCAAAGAGGGCTGCAGTGTTGTTCCTAACGGAATTGAGGACAGATCCGGGGACCGGACCAGCTCCTAGGGCCCCGGGGAGGCAGCAGCACAGACAGTATGTCAGAGCAGAAAGCAGCATGGGCCTCTAGCTCTGAGTGAGAGGTTGGGAGCAGCCACACCTGCCCTGTCCCCAGATGTGGACAGAGAGCCTGGCCAGCTCCCAAGCCTAATCCTGGAGGGACACTTTCACGAAGAGGGTGGCAGATGGGTGCTGGTCTCCGTTCTTGGACAAAAGGTGGACGTGGCGGTATCCTGGCAGACAAGGAGGCAGGAAGGAACACACAGGGAGAGTTCCGGTCACTCAGGGAAGATGCTTCAGGGGACAGCTGCCCCAGCCCAAGACATGCCAGGCCCTGCCTCCCTCCACCTTGCTGTCTCCTCCCCTGGACACTTACCCTGCTTGAGGCTGTTCAGGGGGATGGTGCTCTGGCCAATGAAGTCGTTCTTCGAGGAGGCATCGTAGTCCTCAACCATGAAGCGCACAAGGGCAAGGTCGGGCACAACCACCTCAAACTCAAACTCCGTGTCCCACCGCGGGTTGAAACCTAGGGGTACAGGCACCATGTCAACGGCATGGACACCGGCTCCACTGCATGGACCCAGCCCAGGCCCAGCACATACCATTATTGGTGACTACTGCTGTCTGGCGGCTGGCCATGTCCCAGCCCACGCCATGGATCTCCACCGTCACCTTGGGGTCCACTATTGAATTCTTATTCTTGTTGACTTTGGGCAACTGCTGCCCTGAGATGACCTGAGGGAAGGCGGTGGACAATTAAGGGTTTAGGAGTGGTGGCGTCGGAGAAAGGATGTCCATGGGCCCCGTCCCTCCTGGGGCTGGCCATACCCTGACACTGAGCCGCTTCCGAGCCCACCAGGGCCCCTGAGCCAGGGCACGTGAGTTGAAGGTGGAGTTGGGGTCTCGCAGGAAAGCAGGTTTCAGCACGTACCCACAGGCCCCATTGTCCTGGAAGCGGCCCTGATACACGTCCATCTCTGGCCCAGGTGTCTGGAAGTTCAGGGCCACTACAGGTAGGACAGAGCAGTCACAGGCTGTGGGTTGGTCTCTGGGACCCTAGAGCCCAGCCTACTCAGGGTACACTGAGGCCTTAGAGTGACACGGTGAGGCAGCAAGGTCTAGTATCACTGATGCCTACAGCCCTCCTGCCACCCTAACTGACCCACCACACCAACCTCACGTTCCACTTCAGGTGCCAGAATTCAAAGGAATAGCATGCTATAACGATGGGATTTCAGACACTGTGACTTGCTAGTAGGGGGATATTTCCAAACTGAGATCACCAGCTCCTGGGCCCACAAATCCTGCGCCTGGCCCTGCTTGGGTCCCCAGAGGCTCCTGGTCCCTGGCTTTCGGGATTGAAACCCTCATCCAGGCCTCCTCCCAGCCCCAGCCAGTCCCTACCGATCTGGCAGCCCCCATTCCACATCTCCACAGGGCTGTAGTTGGAGGAGTCCGTTCTCCATCCAGCGGGGTAGATCCTGCTCAGGTGAGTCACATTGTAGCGCACAAGGTTGTTTCCTGAGGAGGATGTGGGTTGGTCAGAAGTGGAGGCCTCTGGAGGAGCCTGAGCCCCTCCCCACCGGCTCTGCTGGTAAGAGCAGGCAGTGCTAACCCTGTCCAGGTCAGTGGGAGCCAGGCCTGGCGCTGGCCAGTGCACATGGTCGGACCGTGGACAGCACCCCCAGGGAGCAGGGCCAGGGCTCACCTGATTCTTGGAGCAGTCGGAGCACACGGTTCTCAGAGAAAGACACCATCTCATAGAAAGCCTGCTCTGGGGTGCCAGGGCTGGAGAAGCCCCGAAAATGAATGCTCTTGCAGTAAATGACCATATCGGAGAGCTCCTTCACTAGCCTGTGCGCGTCCTCCTGGGGGCCATGGGGAGGCCCAGGTTAAATTCAGAGGTTGGGGCAGGTGGGCACTGAGAGGGCCAGAAACCCAGACACACACAGAGAGAGGGAAACAGACAGAGAGAGCGGGGCAGAGGGTCTGAGTGGCAGCCACCGAGAACTGAGACAAGGCAAACATCCCACCAGGTGATGGAGGGTGATGATGGGGGAGGGCCCCCAGGCTGCCCTCCCCCCACAGCTTCCCCTCGAACCTTGGGCTTGTGCTGCACTCGGCTCCTCACTGCCTCATCCTCCATCTCGGCAGCCTCATCCTCATCTGACACGACGGTGGCCTCAGGGCCACCTTCCCCTCCTAGGGGCAGGAGCCCCCCAAGCTTCTTCCCTTTCAGCAAGATCTTCCCCTTCAGTTGCTACGGATGGAGGGGCAGTTGGTCAACACCGAGCTGGCCTCCCAGCCAGTTCCCCTGGCCGCTTCTCTGGGCACCCCCATCCCCACTGTGCACCTCAGGGGAGGGCAGACTGGTGGTAACCCCGTCCAGCGGTCGGTCCAACAGCATGGGGCCCAGGGTGGTGCGCAGGTGTCGTGCCATCACGCGCTGCTGCTCTAGACTGCAGTGGTTCTCCAGGGACAGGATGACGGGGTAGGGGGACGCCTGGAGGCCCAAGGGTAGATTAAAAGGGGTTGGTTTGCCGCCCCTGTCCTCCCGCTCCTCACTCCCCCAGGGGCGCGGCCACCTTGAAGGCGTAGTCCCGGATGGCCCTGAGCACGTCGCAGAAGAGGATCTTGGAGGTGAAAGTGTAGCCGTGGTAGATAACCGGCTCCTGGTTGGGCCCGTCCCAGCAGTCCAGCTCCAAACAGCGGCAGCCTTTGCACAGCGCCCTGCGGGGAGGGGCGGTGCTAGGACCCTCGTCCCACGCCCGTCCCGCCCAGAGCCCCGCCCCCGGCTCCCCCGCCCCGCCCCCGGCCCTACCGGATGTAGGCTTCCGTGCTGCTGGGCCCGGTGAGCTGGTCTTCAAGCAGGTAGGTGTTGTGCGAGGAGGACACTAGGTAGTGGCTGAGCGGCTGGCCCATATCTTGGTAGACCCGCCGGTGTGCCAGGTTGAAGGCGCTGCCGTCGGCAGATAGCAGGTACATGAGGAAGCCGTCCTTGGTCATCTGCCGCTGTGCCTTGGCTGGCAGGGAGGAGGCCGATGCTAGTCAGAGCCCGCCACTGGCGGCCAGTCATCTCCTGGGGACCTTCCCGTGCCACTCACTGCTCAGGGAGGAGGAGCCCCCACGCCCTCTGCCTCCAGTCCTGAGCTGGTCCTTGATATCTCTTGGAAGGTGTAAGTTTGAGTCTCTCGAACCAGACTACCCCAGGGTGGGGCCCTGTATCCTCCTCTTCTGTCCCCCACACTGTGAGGCCCCTTGAGGATAGGACCTGATCTCCTCCTCTGTGCCTCCAGACTGGAGCCCCCTTCAGGACCCGGCTCCCATCTTATGTCTCAAAGCTGGGCCCAGGATGGGCACCAAGAAGGAAGCAGGGAAAGTGCTTTTCTAGCTTCCGCTACATTTCCTCGGGGAGGGGTCCTCAAAATCCCTTGGAGGAGAAACCGAGGTGGGTAGTGATGCTGGAGCCCCATTTCCCAGCTGCCTGCTTTCATGGTGCAGGCAAATACTGTCCAGGGGGCCTGGGGCTTGCTAAGGCACCCCCATCCCTGTAGCTCCCTACTCTTGGGCTGCAGTCTCCCCGGGGATCTCCCAGCCCACTGTGGCCCTGTGACTGCAGGGCGCAGGCCCTGGCCAGGCCCTCACCACTCTCGCTGGGCTCATAACGCTCAATGAGGGAGAGGGCCAGTGCCGGTCCCGCCGCCTCCTCTCGCTGCCGGTGCTGCAGGAACGTCACCAACTGGTCCACCGACAGGGTGTCCCCAGAGTTGGCAGCCTCAGCAAAGGTTTGGTCGATCTCCTCCCGCTGGGTTAGCAACTTGTAGAAGGCCTCAATCTCCTCATCCTCCAGAGAGTCTGTCTGAGAGCGGTCACATTCCTGCAAAGCCAGGACAGCCATGTGGGCAGGCTCAGAACAGGCCCAGGGCTAGGGTCCAGGACCCCACTGCCAAGCAGACCCAGCCCTCACTCCTGCCTCACCCTGAAGATCTTCCGGGCGTAGCTGTCGTCCACCTGGATGTTGAGTTCCTTCAGGAAGTTCTTCAGCTCCTTGAAACTCATCTTGTTGTCCTTGTTTTTGTCAGCTTTTCGCAAGCAGGAGTGAATCCAGCTGGGTAAGAAGTAAGGAAAGAACCCAGGAGCCCTGGTACCCCCAAGGTCCCAGCCAGAGCCGTGGTTCCCGCCCAGTATCAACACCTGGGCCCAGATGGACTGAGGACACCTGTAGACACAGCTTCCCACAAGCCCGACTTACAGCATCACCAAATTTCAGGCGCAAGACCTGGTGGCCTCCTGAGAGGAAATGTTACATCCTAGCACAGGGTCTTTTTCCTATTTGCTGGCTTTGAACCCTTTCGAATTTTGTTAAAAAAAACATTTCTTTCAATAAAAGGGTTCATTATAGAGAATTTAGAAAATGAAGTAAACAAACAAATCCCCCATAGACCCAAGGATAACTACTGTTACCATTTTTAAGGTATGTCCTTTTGGTTTTTAATACACAGAGGGTGCCAAAAAAATGTATACACATTTTAAGAAAGGAAAAAACTATTAAAATTGTAATACTCAATATATACCAATAACAAAAGATGAACGTAAGTCACATTTGACTTCTGCAATTACAAGAGGTGCTCAAAGTGGTTACCACTAGCGTCTAGACACTTCTGATTATGGTGACCTACTGCTTGAGCAACGTTGACCAAAGTGTCCACTTGTATACATTTTTTTGGCACCCCCCAGGATATTGTTAGCCAACTTGACTAAAGCACTTGAGTCTTATTTTATAGGAAACCACAAATTTCAAGCACCTGACCAGAAGGTGGGGACATCACATGCAAAACCAAAGCCTGGATCACATTGTCATGATTGGGGCACTTAGGCCCCTACTTCTCTCTTCTCAGCCTTGACCTTGAGAACTAGATGATTAAAACATCTGAGACTAGGTTTCCCATTGAAGCAGTCTGCTCCCCTCAGCCTCCCAGATCCATGCTGGTTACAGACGAGGGAAGAGGGACATCAGGGGGCTGCAGAGCTGTCTGGTCCTTGAGTCAGAGTGGACCAAAGAGGGCTCCAGGTACCTCCCCTGCTTCCCTTCTACTATGGACTGAATTGTGTTCCCCTAAAATTCATGTTGAAGCTCTAACCCCCAATATGATGGTATTTGGAGATGGGGCCTTTGGGAGGTTTAGAAGAAGTGATCAGGTGGGCCCTCATGATGGGATTAGTGCCCTTATAAGAAGAGACCAGAGAGCTTACTGTCTCTCTCTCTCTCTCTCTCTCTCTACCATGTGAGGCTGCAGTGAAAGGGCAGCCATCCAGAAGCCAGGAGGAAAGCTCTCACCAGCACCCAACCCTGCCGGCGCCCTGATTTCAGACTTCCAGCCTCTAGATCGGTGAGAAAATGAATTTCTGTTATCTAAGCCACCTAGTCTGTGCTGTTTTGGAATGATGGTCCAAAGCTGGGTATCTTCCATACCCAGGTTGCCCTGGGGACAACCACAGCCAGTATCCACAGGCTTGGCCTGAGCCCACTGCCACCAGAAGGATACTGCTGCAGTTTTTGCCGCTGGTCCATGGAGCCTGAGTGCCGGATGACCTTGAGCAGACCCTGCACCCAGTGCTGGGCTTCAGCGGGCGATGGGGCGATGAGGTCTAGTGTGTTTCGCTGGTCCTTAAAGACAATGGAGAAGCAGCGATCCTCGGGCACGTCGCGGGCAAACTTCTCCAGGCCTTCCGTGCGGTGTCCCATCCGGACCTCCTGAATGTCCTCAATGGAGACTGTAACACGGGGTGGGGGAGGGGTGGGGGCAGAGAGACGCATGAGGCCAACTCCAGCCCCCACCATGGCTGAGGCTACAGTAGAAGGGGGCACAATTAGAGACAGAGCCGGGACAGCTCAGGCCTTGATCCAGCGAGAAAGGGGGGGGGGTCAGGAGGACAGACAAGGGGGGACCAAAAGGAGGAAGGAAGACAGAGACTGAGGTGGAGAAGGAATGTGAGAAACAGCTGTGGTGGGCAGAGTGGAAACACAGGGAATGACAGAGATAGAGAGAGACTGACTTTAGGGCGGGCAGGGTGCCCGGGACCCCAGGCCCCTTGTTTCTGTGCTGTAGGGAATAGGGCCCTGGGGAGAGGATTGGGGCAGGGCAGGGCTCTTAGACAGATAGCGAGAGACCATTCTGGAGCATGGGGCCCGTGACAGAGAGGAAGCCACACACCCTCCGCATCACACTTGGCTTTGGACCTGTCCTCCTCCCACACAGCCATTGAGAGCCTCCAGGCCTCACTCCTGACCATTCAGGAGACTGGAGCCACCCTTACTTAGTCAGCCCTGGCCTTGGGGTCTAAGGGCAGAGGGACAAAGACAGAGGGAGAAGTGCTTGTGTTCGAGGGTAGAGAAGGCCTTGCCCCGTGTGTGTCTGTATGTGTCCTGAACTCAGGGAGCCCCTTGGCAAGGAGGGGGCTGGAAGGCTCTGCCCTCCAGGGCTCCAAGAGGCGGACTGGAGGGTATGCCTTGGGGGTCTGAGAGATTACAGCGTTCTGCCCTTGGAAGCCAGGAGGAGGGTCTTACTGTCACAGTTCAGCCTTCTAAGCTTCAGGGAGCAGCAAGGCCCTGCCTACCCTTCCTCACCCGCAGTGTGTGCTCCCTGGCTTGGCTGGGAGCCAGTCCCACTGGCTAGACTCATTCTGGGCCTCCCAGCATCAGGGTCCAGGCTCTGTCTGCCCCACCCCTATCCTGAGCCACCTACATCCATCTGTCCTGGTTCCTAGACCAGCTCTGGCTGAAAGCCCATCTGTCCCTTCTGGTGTCTACTGGCACCCTGAGTGCCCTGGGACCTCCTAGCCACCTGCAGGCCCCACGTGTGTGCCATGTATCCAGCCCAGGCAGCAGGCTCTGAGGAGTAGGGCACGTGAGCCCTGGGCCATCTAGAGTGCAGGGGAGATCCTTGCTTAATCCCTTTGCCGACAGCCTCCTGTGCCCCGCTAGGCCCCACACCAGCTGCAGCTGACCCAGGCTGGGAGTGAAAACAGGAAGTCTGAGCAAGCCATGGAGCTCCCGGGACGCACCCCCACCCACATCAGAGAGAAAGTCCAGATGGCTTCACTGCTGATAATGCCTTGTCTGCTTCTGCAAACCAGGGTTGAGGGGGTGCTAGTGGTGGCAGCATCAGGGCAGACTTAGGGCTCAGGAAGCAGAGGCAGAGAGAACTGGGGGTGGGGGAGCTGCTCCATTGCTCCCTCAGCTGGCCTCAGTTTCCCTGAGGGTAGAGTACAGTTGAGGACAACTGTCTTACTCACCCATGGAAGGGAAGCAGCCAATAGGAAGAGAGCCTCTTTCAGCCACCATCCTTACTTATCACACCTGATGCCTGACCCCAGACCTGACACCCCTGCAGCCACTCCTCTGTCAGGGTGCAGGCCCCTCACTCATCTCCTTTCCTCACTCTCGCCTCTGCACCTTTGCTCACACTGCGTCTCCTGCCTGGAATGATCTTCCTGTCCTTGTGTCACAGCAGTACCAGTGTGAGGGTCTCATCTCCCCAGTACAGGTCTAGAAAAGCCTAAGTTTCTACTACTCTGCTGCCCCTACGCCCAGCCCACCAGGTGCTAGGCACACACTGGGAACCATGCATACGTGCCAGCTGGCCAGTGGGCTGCCAGAACCCCCAGGGCTCAGAGTGTAAGATAACCCATTCCCACCATGGCACCTCCTGCCAGGGTCTAAAGGAAACCCCATATCAAGGCAGAGGCATGTGAAAGAGCCTGGCTGGTTCCACAGAGGCAAGGTCAGGGTTACTCCTGCGCTATGTGGCAGACATGCACTGACGGTGGTTTTCTGAAAGCGCTTCAGGCCCCATCCTTTCTGACCCTGCCCTGCCCTGCTAGAAACCTTCCTTGGCCCACGGACCCCAAGGCCCAGCCCCACTCTTCCCATCTGACCTTGCTCCTGTCCTGCCTCACCTCTGGCCCCTCCATAGGCCACAGGCCAGCAGGCCATACCACTTCAGGTTTCTGTCCAGTGTCCTGAGGCCTAACAGACCCTTCCTGTGGCCTGTCACCTGTGTCTGGTCTCTCCCTACAGACCTGCCAGTGGGATGACCCTGCCTGCCCCTCAACAGCCAAGGGCAGGTGAATGAGTGAGCGATTTCCAGGGGTCTAGACTATGTAAAACCCAGCTGCAGTGATCTCTCTGCACTGTCCAGTATAGCAGCCATGAGCCACATGTGGTGATTGAAATGTAAATTTGTTAAGATTCAATAAAATTAAGAGTTCAATTCCTCAGTCACCCTAAACACATATCAAGTGCTCAATGGCCACAGGTGACGGGTTAGTGGCAACTGTATTGGACAACACAGATATAGAACATTTCCATCAACACAGAAAGTTCTCTTGGATAGCATTGGTTTGAAATTTCCCCTCCAAGTAAAGGTGCAGAGTAGACCTCTCATTTACAGAATTTTTAGGGCACTCTTGTGTTAAGGACAGTAGTCAGCAGAGCTTTCTCCCTAAGGCCTTGTAGGGAACACTCTCCATTTGCAGGCCTGAGCCTTGGGTTCCTCGACCCTTTCTGAAACTTCTGGAAAGCCCTCAGACCCACACCCTCGAGTGAGCTACCAAGCTGAGGCCTCTTTTCATGTCCTAGCCCTGCTCTGCCTCAACCTCCCTGCTATGGCCCCAGTCCCAGGGGAGGGCTGCATCCTGCGGCCCCACCTCACATCCTGGCTACTCATAGTGGGAAGGGCCTTGTCTGCCCCAGACTTTGGGCTGGCTTTTGCCCTACCCCACCTGGAGTCCTAGTCTGCCCAACTTCCCTCCTCCCCGTAATTGTCAGGGCAGATACCTGTGAGGTCACACCTGGACAGATACCTGTCCAGCTACCTCCCTACTTCTGAGCCTGCTTTCCCGTGTATGGTCATGGTTATGTACCCCTAACCCCCAAAAGGCTTTAGCATCTCCATCTGTGGTCCTCGGTCCAGGACTGCCCTCTCTGGACCAAACTAGAGCTCAATTTCCCTATCGGCGTTTTAACTGACTCCTCTCCCCAACTCTGATCCACTTCAGTTTCCCCATATCTGGTCCCGATTGCATGACTGACCTATGCCCCACCAGGCCAGGCCTCAGTTTCCCTATCTGTGGTCCTGGTCCATGATGGACCTCCACCCCCAACCAGCGTCAGTTTCCCCATCCAAGCACAGGTTGCACGCTCTGCCTCCTACCGCAGGGCCCGGGGGCACTCACACAGCTGGGACTCCGGGGTCCGCATGACCTTGCGGGATTCCTGCCAGATGGTCTTGCAGTCTTCCTGCAACTTGTAGAAGCGCTCTCTCCGCCATGAGTTGGACTTCACTTTTAGGAGCTGGCTGCCCTTCAGCAGTGCCTGTAGGTCCTCGTCATCTTGTAGGCCTAGGGGACAGAGCTGGTAAGATGCCACCTCCTCCATTGTCCCTGCTGCCCCAGGCCCCATGCTAGCCACACCCACTTCTGGACCCTCTCGGAGCCCACTTTTCACCAGCCTCATCCTCAATTCTCCACCACGAAGTCATCTCTGATTGCCAGCTGAGGCCTTGTAAACCTTAGGACACCTACCCACTCAAGGCCACACGGTGACCTGCCACCCACAGCTGAATGGACAAAGGGAGGACAGCTAATCTAAGAACACCTGGTCCCAGGGGGATCAGACCCCTAGGAAGTGGCCTGGCTCTGAAAGACAAGGTGCGCCCTTCCTGGTCACACTTAAGGATCAGAGTAACTTGAAGGAAGCTGAGACCGAAATATCAGGCAAAGCAGTAAAGACAAGGGGCAGACACAGAAGGAAACGGACGCCAGAGCACCACAGAGCCCAACACCCTCCCAACTCCAGTGGCTGTGGAATCACCTGTGCCTAGGTCCAGGTCCCTCTCCTAACTAATTGTGGCCTGGGCAAGTGACTTCATGCTGCTTTCCTGTCTTTAAACTGAGGATAAAAACAGGATCGCCCTCAAAGGGACGGTCTAAGGCTGTGAGATGATGCGTGAATCTGGGGGAGGTCCCGAGGTAACAGCAGCTGTAGTTCTTCGTGTCAACACTGTGGTTACTGTGTGCCCATCCCTGCCACTCTCACCACTATTGTCCCCACCACTGACTTGGACTTGCTTGACTGGGTCTTGATCCTTGCCCCCAGAAGAGACAGATGAGCCCACTGCAGCCTATGTTGGGCCTGCTGGGATGCCCCTGTCCCTCCATGCCCACCCCAGCTCTGAGTGTCCTGGGTCCAAGACCCCTCAGGGTACAGCAGCCCTAAGTCACAGTGCAGCCCTTTCAAAAGCTGGGGCAGGGCCTGGCCCAGGGCCACGCAGCAAGGCCTAGAACCCTGGCGCCTTGGCCGCCTCCTGCCCGGCTCCCTTGCTGTATAAGAGGCACAGACTGGCTCCTAAAGATACGATGTCCTTTGTCCTACCAGACCCAAGCAAGAGGAACCCAAGGGGCATCAGGCTTAGCTCCCCAGGAGCCCTCACCCCCAAGTAGACCCTGTACTAACTGTGATCAAGGAGAGAACCCCCAACCTTAATGACTCCTCATGGTAATACAGATACATCTATTTATATCTGCATCTGTATGTATCACCTAAGCCACATGTAGTCCAGCAGCCAGCTCTGTTCAGAGCCAATTGGCCATCATCTCACCTCACATCTATCACCAAAACTAAAACTGTGTAGCCTCAGCAATTTTGTACTCTTTTGCCCCAGCAGAGCGGTGGCATCAGAGACCATGTGGGTCCAGTCTGAGGGGCCTGTGCCTAGGCCTATAGGCTTTTCTTTTCTTAGCCCAGATCCTCAGCCCCTTACAGTCTCTCCTACTTTATCCTTGCCTCCTCTCCTGCCCACTGCCACTCCCTAGCCAGCCCCACACAACCACAGGACCTCCAGAACCTCCTGTACCACTTCCCTAAGCCTCAGCCACCCACATCCTCTTTTTCACTGCCCAATCTCCTGCCTCCGGTGCTAACTGCACAGACCCAGTGCTAAGACACCCCGCTGCCCCATGGCTTAAGGCAACTCCCTTCCCTCTCTGTTCCTCCATCAGTACTGGGTGAGAACAGTGTTGGAGGAGACATCTCCGGGCCTCCTCAGAGGTGACACTCTGCTGTGACCTTTCCCCACCTTTGTCCCAAGTCTCTCTACCACTTCCAGGAGACCCCTCTGCCTTGGTGTGAGCAGCTCCCCTACAGCCCCAGGGGAAGCCCAGTGGAGGAGAAGAGGGCTCCTGCAGGGTGTCCTAGCCCACTGGCTATCTGCGGGGCTCAAGACCAGAGGAAGGGGAAGGGAGTCCAATGCTGCCAGAGGAGAGAGCCTCCTCAGCCTCTGTTGGGGATTCTATGGTCCTTTCTGATGCTGAGGTGCAATTGGGAGGAACATCTTCCCCACCGCCTGGCCTGCACCCCACCCCCCAAGCTGGGCACATATTAGGGCAAGCCATTGCCAACAGCCCAGATGGGAATGGGGGAGGGGGTCGGAAAGTAGAAGGTGAGCCCCACCCCTCCCCAGTTCTGGAAAACACCGTTAGGAGATGACATGTTTATCCTGTCCTGGAGCCAGGCTGTGGCCCTGTCTGCAGTCAGGCAGAGATAAGTCCCCTGGCTGCCGACATGACTTCCGGAACACAGATCTCTGTCCCAAGGTGGGCCTTGATAACCACTGCCCTCTGGGCCACTCGGAAACCTGGTCAGGCACCTCCATCCCTGAGCCACATTTGACGCCCTTTTGTTTCTGAGATCTCTGGGCTGCCCATTCCCACCACCCAGAAAGTCTATGGGCACCCCTCTCCCAGCCCCACTCATTTAGCTATAGTACCTTCTCCTGTGGAAGGGCGGTGGTGAGAGGACTCTGAGCTCAGGGGCCCCTGGGTTGACCTTGCAGCCTCACCAACCTGCCCAGGCCAGCTGTACACAGTGAGGTGGCCATGGGAAGGAGTGCAGAGGGTGCTGCAGGTGCTAAGAAGCTGAGAAGAGTACCAGGAGTCCTGCCCATGTACCTAGGGTGATGCATAATGGAGACAAACTAGGCCTGGGACCCACAGCAATACACATCTATGCAGAGATAAAGTCACACACACCACGCCATTACACTCAGTCACACACAACCTCGAAGAAATAATGAGCCACACACAGTGATACACAGTGTTACATGGAGTCACACACAGCCACACAACATACAATGCCAGAACATCATCATAGTAATAATAGCATCCACCATAATAATAATAGTTAATATTTGAATAAGATACTGTTCTTAGCACATGTATTTAATCCCCCTGCCCCCCACAACCCGATGAGGAAGGCACTATCATTATTCCCATTTTATAGATGTGGAACTTGAGGCTCAAGGAAGTTACATGGTTGAGTCAGGACTCAGAAGCCTGCCCACAGGGTCAGTGCTCAGATACATTATATTATGCAGCCACCATACTGCCACCAAGAGTAACATCAGAAAATCCACATAACACACACACACCATAACACAGACTCACTCTGAGTTACCCAATGTCACATCTGTCACCCACAGTGCACAGCATCACATTGGAGCACACACTGTCTCCCAGATCATCTCACTGAGTTACAGTCACAGCAGTTACACACTGGGCCATATATCCAGTGTTACCTCGTAAATCTGTAAACAGGAGGGGCTGGGTGGCAAGGGGCAGGGAGACTTGGAGGAGCGGAGGTAGATCAGGAGAAGGGGTAACCAATCCCCACAGTACCCACTCCACGTGCCACCCCTGCAAACACAGCCCCACGTAGGTCTCACATTCACAGGAGTACTAAACAGGTTTTATCAAAGGATCGAAGGCAGAACTCAGAGCTCAAGAACATAGATTCTGTGTCCCGCCTCAGCTGCCATCCCAGTCTCCGCAGATCTCCGTGCCCCCTCCATCCCTTACCCAGCCTCTGCCCACTGAGCGCCGCCGCCTTGAGGCTCTGCTCCTGCAGGTAGAGCTCTCTGGAGCGGCTCCGGCTCCGGCCCTCCAGGAACTGCATGATGCTCCGCAGAGCCCCCGCCGCCCGCGGAGCCTGCAGGGCTCGGGACAAGGAGGCAGCCTCCAGCAGCCTGCCAAGAAGGGGAACGGGGGCGGAGACCATGCCTGGGGCGGCACTAGAATCCCGCTGGGAAGCCCAGGGGTCAGGAGGTGGGGGCGAAAGCGGAATCTAGGAGGGGAGAGGAGGAACCAGAGTGGGACAAATCCATAATGCAGGAAGCAGATCCGTGGCGAAAGCCAGCGCCCAGAAAGCGGATCGAGGGCAGCGACAGAGCCAAAGAGGTGGAGAAGGGGAGGAGCCGGGTCTGGGAGGCGACGTGGAGTCAGGGCCATACCCAGGAAGCCAACCCGGGGAGTAGCCAAGACTTAGAGGGCGAACTCGGGGAGGGTCCCGCACTAGAAAGGCGGTGTTTGGCAAAGAGGGGCGGAACCTCGAATTTGGAGGCGGTGTAGGGGTGGAGTCCGGCCAGGGGGCGGAGCCTGAGCCGCGCTTCTAAACAGCTGCGGGCCTGACAGCAGGCGGGGCGAGACAGCTAGGGAGGGGCTGCCTGGGCTGCAGAGTCTAGCGGTGAACGGGATGGATGGAGCCCGTGCCAGACAACTGAGGCCGCCAAATATTTTACCAAAATAACGAATTCATTGTGACTCAGCTGGCTGTTGCCTCACTTGAGAACCTCAGGCAGACCTATTTCCTTCTCTCAGTTCCCCACCTGAGTGGGGTAATCTCCAAGGTTCCAAATGCGAATGGAATTCTTGGAAAAAATGCTGATCTTAAAGTGAATCCATCAACGCAGGCTTGCTTTGATAAATAGAGAGGACGACTTCAACTTTATACAAAACTGTGCTGCCAGTGTGCTCGGGAACAGTGGGACCTTTCATGTTGTTTGGTCTCTGAATGTTAGGTCTAAGAGACCTTGCTTTACAGATAGAGCCATGTCTGCAAGAAACAACAAAATGTCTGTTAGCCTGCACCTGCAGACAGAGCCAAACTTGTGATAACAAAAAATGTCACAAAACAGCTACTGGCATACAGGCAGTCAGCATTTTCTGTTCAAACAATGCTACCCTGTCAGCACCACCACCCCTATATAACCCTCCTCACCCCCTCTCTCGGGGCTGCAAGTCTTTAGACGTCCAGCCTGGGCTGTAGCCATCTTTGCTAAGCCCGATAGACTTTCTCTTAATAAAACAGATTTTCTTAAACTTTCTTAACTTGCCTGACCATGCGTGTTCCTTTACTGGCCGACCTATCACTTGGTGACGAATCCCTGGAGGGTTTAGGCCAGAGAAAGCAGGATCTCCCTTTCTCTTTCTCTTCCTGCCCCCCCCCCACACACACACACCACCCCCAGGGCTTGATCTGCTCTTTGGCTACCCTCCTGAACCTGCCATAAGGATGCACTTCAGGACTTACGCCCTTCCATTGCTGACATCCCAGACAACATGAGGCCAGAATCTCGACAGGTGAGTGAGACCTCCTATTCTTGTTTTGGACCTTCTGACTCTCATTGTTCTGCAGTTCTACAAAAGTCCTAGCACTAAGCCAGAAGGTCCCTCTCGGCCCCGGGGGCCCAGACCCTCCCAGTCTTGGGGACACCCAGCCTGCAAGTGAAAGTGATCTCTCGTACTGGTGGGGGATGAACACCGGAATTTGGAACACCTCATCCCCTTGTTCTCCCCTTAATAGGAGGCTCCCTCCTCACCTTTCTCACTCCATCTATTGCAACCTTGGGGACCTCACATTCAGTCCCTGCCAAATCTACCCCTCTTGGTTATCTCCTCTGCAACTTACACGCCCTTGGGCTCAACTTATAGGAGATCCAACCCACACAACTTATCTTTTACTATAACACTGCCTGGCCCCAATACAACTTCTGTCACCATAACAGAAAGTGGTCAGAAATTCCCTGTGTCCAGGCCTTCTTCACTCTTTGGGCTCGACCCTCCCTCTGCCAGACCTACAACACTTTCCAAATTCTCCTAGCCCACTCTAAGCCTTCTCCTCCTCCAAATAAAACTCCCTCCTTTGACCCAGCTGACAATTGGGCCCCTCTTTCTCCGCCCCATGCTCTACTAGCCCCTCAGCCTGAATCTTCTCCCCCGAACTCCAGCTTCTCATTTCAGGAGGATTTGTTTCTGTAAGTACTCTGGTTTATGTAACTTGTTTGTTTTATTTGCCTCTAGTCTGTCTTTTCTCTTTTTCTTTTCCTTTTCTATTTGTGTCTTAGACCCCAAACTGATTGGGAACTCTGTGCCTGTACCTTCTGTGAGCCCCCTAAGTCATATATTTAAAATTGTTTTGTACACCAACTCTGTATTCAGGGACTTAACAAAAGTAAGTCTTAAAAGATTTCTCTAACTCTCAGTAACTTTCAAGGTCTTACAGATAACCTCAAATGTAAACAAAGGGCTGCTGCAGCTGCAGCTTGAGGCTGAGGTAACTGAAGAGAAAAAAAAGACACTTTTAAACCCAGGCAGCAAGCCCCCCACACACACACACCTCCCACCCCCACTCCCTATTACAGCCTCCTGAAGTTATAAGGACAACTATAAGATCTTAGGTCCTCTCTACAATTGTTGGTGGTTCTGTTTATAAATATAGTCTCTAAGGTCTAAACTTGTCTATGTTTTATATATATTATAATGTTTTTGCCTCTGGATGGTATTACCAGTTTATATTTGATTGGCTAAAAATAAGAAATTAGGGCCCGACGAGTGGAGCATTGGTTAGGAGTTGGCTTGGAATGCCAGCTCTGAGCAGCAGGGCCCTGGCTCGGATCCCACATAGAGGGCCAGTGACGCTGCGCCCTTTACAGCTAAGATGGTGAATAACAGCTCAACCTGGAGCTGGGCTGCCATGAGTCGCCCGCGACTGCGTAGGCTGCAGTGGGGCTGGTCAGCAGCGGGCGTAGCTGCTGTGAGCTGCCATCCTGAGCTGCTGTGAGCTGCCATCCAATGGCCGGCAAGTGACTGCCTCACCTGGGAAGAGCACAATGATAATACTAACATGGGCCAGTAAAGCAACGTCCTCCACAACTAGACTGAAGAATAAAAGGATAGCAACTTGTCTGTTCCCCTTCCCCCAATTCCCCAACACTGTTCCCCTCCCCCAACTCCCCAATAAAAAATAAAATAAATAAAAATAAGAGATTAAGCACATATTAATTAAGATAATAAAGACTAACTCAACTACTCAGGATCACATGATCTAAAGAGATATTTGATAATAAGGCTGCTTTCTTGGTTTTACTAAGTTGTGTTAAATGATAAAAGTTATTAATATCTAGGTATTTCAAAATAACGAAATACTGAAATATCAATTATTGGATAGGTTTGAGTTTATTTCTGGCTTCTTGTCATAGGAACGTTAAAAGATAAAATCTGTTAATGAATATATCATGTATTACAAAAGCCTATGCTTTGAAGGTTACAAAATATATTCCTCGATTTACCAAGGAAAGTGCTAATTACTTGCTTTTGGTTATCAGTAAAATTTAAGGTTGTGAAGCTAGTACAAAATTTGAGTTGAGTTTTTTCCTGCTAAGTAAGACAAAGTTTATTAGACTATTAATCTACTATTAATATTATAAAAAAGTTTTCTACTTAAAAAACAAAGATTATATATGTCATCATAATAATTCCTATGTTTTATATTATCTTAATCAGGTCCTGGGTTACTGAAAAAAGCTAAATCTAACAACTAAGTTTTGCTAATAGTTACGTAAACTTCTGTATTCTAGGACTACTGGTGTTCATGTGCCCTTCTCATGTCAGATATAAGCCAGTGTAAACAATAATTTAACTATTTTTTATACCAAAAACCTACATAAGTTAGGGTAAATTCATTAAGCCAGGCCTAATATTTTCCCTCACCTGACAGGAAATTATAGTAATTATGACCCATTCTTGCATCTTAATGAAAAGCGACAGAACCTAAAGAAGGCCAGGAAATTTGTTTCAATATCTTTAACAACCGAGACAAATAAACAAACAAACAAACAATAAAGGAACAGTGAGACTAGAGACAAGACCAGAGAGAGGCCAGACTTTTAGGCCGCAGTTATAGACAACCCAGGGCTGAAGCCACCTCAGGGTACCCCAGAAACCCCAGAAGAGGAAACGCCAGACTATTGGATTAAGGAATGTCCTAATCCTCCAAAACAGCTGTGCCCCCAGTGCAAACAAAAAAGGACACTGGAGGAGGGATTGCCCCCTGCTCTGAAGGGAGCAGGGACCAACATCCTCGCCACAAATGGCTCTGATCACTATTGGGCCTGAAGTTCCCAGCAGCTCCTAAGCTGTGCTCATCACAGGGGTGGAACTGTGGGTGACCCTTGACATGGCAGGTAGGCCTGTTAATTTCCTGATTAATATAAAGCCATTTAGTCTTTCTTGACCGCTCACTCTGGACCTATTTATTTCCTCTAAAACTTACTCGGTTGTAAAGATAACAAGCCCCTAGATTTGGGCTCATTTTCCTCAGCCTATTCCTTACCATTGGCCTATGCCTTAGAAAAAATATAAAACAGACAACTCAGACTTAAAAAGGACTCTAAGAAAAGTTTTGTCAGGAGCCCTCTAAGCCCTGGCTCTATTTGCTGCTTATTGCTTTGGATTCTGACCTCAATTCTCTTATTTTCTATGTTGTTAACTTGGGAAAAAGTCCAGCAGGCACTCAAAATATAGGGACTGCCACCTTCCCCAGGCTGACTCCTCTACGCAGTACAGCCCTATAAAGTCATAAAATTGTAAAGTTGGGACCAAGTACTGTTAAAAGCCTAGACGGGGAGGGGTCTCTAACAGCCCAGTTAACTCCTGAATGGAAGCGACCCTTTCCAGTTCTCCCAAGGACCCCAAATACTGTGAGGCTGCAGAGAATCAGCAGCTGGGTCCCCGTCCCTTCAAATCAAACCTGTTCTATTGAAGTCTCTATAGGACTCCCCCAGAAGAAAGACTGTTCCTTCTGTTCCTGTGAGCCACCTGAAGACCTTAAAACTCTTCGAACAAGCAAGTCACTCTCCCAGGACTGATAACTACTAATAACTAACCCCAGACTCCTTTTTGTTGTCTTTCTCTTAAAGGCTCTCTCTAGTTTTCCTCTTCACTTACACCCCACCTGGGATTCCCTTCTTTACTTACACCCCACTTGGGATCCCCTTCTCACGTAGGGATCCTAATTATATTCCCTTCCCTCACCTTTGCTAGTTCCTCTTCTCATTATCCTTGGGCTACTCCGATTTGGACCTTGCCTTTTTAACCTTCTTGTCAAGTTTATCTCTTCCAGAATCGAGTCTATTAAGCTACAGATGGCTCTTGTACAAGGCTTCCAGC